CCTACCGTCTGACTCAGAGAGCGAATCGACAGGCAATTCGAGCAGAGATTCCCGCAGCAGAACCGTTTCAAGCTACAACGCCCCGCGCCATGGATTCGAAGCCATCAAATTGGAGGTTGGCCCACCGAGTGAATGGGAATTCTACATGATTCGCGTGGCACATGACCGCTTGACCCGGAACCCCGAGCTCTCTCGCGCCACCGACAGTATAATCCGGGCTCATGAGCTTCATGTCTACCGGAACGAGAGTATCTTGGTGGAAGACTACCGTGGTCAGGGCACGATTTTGGACCTGGTCAATCTCATCCGCAGCGAACCAATTTCGCCAACCACCAACAGTGAGGGTGGAATGGACGAGGTGCTGGCCATGTTTTTCACCGTCGAGCTATTCCGCACCGTTGAAGCTCTGCATGCAAGTGGGATCATCCACGGCGACATCAAAGCCGACAACTGTCTTGTTCGCCTCGACGACAAGCCTGCCCTGCCTCCCTCCCTGATCGACCTGGACAACGACTACGCCGACCCGCGCGAGGTGCACTATTCCCCGCGGGGCCACCACGGCTGGTGCAACAAGGGCCTCTCGCTGATCGACTTCGGCCGCGGCATCGACATGCACGCCTTCTCCCCGGCCGTCCAATTCCTCGCCGACTGGGAGATCAAGAGCCACGAGTGCAACGAGATCCGCGAATCGCGGCCCTGGACCCACCAGATCGACCTCTACGGCCTGGCCGGCACCATCCACGTCATGCTGTTCGGCAAGTACATCGAGTCGATGCCCGTCCGCCGCAGCGAGGGTTTTTCGGCGGGTGGTACTGACTCGGACCGGCCCGATTCGGCCACCACCCGCACCTACCGCATCCGCGAATCCCTGAAGAGATACTGGGAGCGCGACATCTGGACCGACGTCTTCGACCTCCTGCTCAACCCCGGCGCCGAGCGCTGGGCCCAGGTCGAGCGCGCCAACCGGAACCCCACCGCTGCCGCCGGCTTCGCGGAAGACGGGACCAGTCCTGGCCCTGCACCGATCCTCCCCGTGACCCACTCAATGAAACTGGTGCGGGAGCGCATGGAGGCCTGGCTGCTGGGCAACGCCGAGAAGAAGGGCCTCGGCTTGCAGCTCCGCAAGCTGGAGGCGATCTTCGCCGAGCGCAAGAAGAGATTGGAGAAGGTCTAGTGTCTACCTTCCTGCGGTTCTGCTCTATTCTTTCTTTGGTTGTGGATGTCGCATGATCTGAACAGTTTATACCCCCCCCTTTTTCAATGCTTTTGGGATTTGCAGCGTTGGCGTTCTGAGGTGGGATTGTGTTTTCTCGGTTCGATTGCCTTTTTCTATTCTGGTACTACTAAGGTTTTGTTCCTTGTCTGTGGGATAGTGCTACACTTCTCGATAATTCTTACAAATGTTACCATCCTCAGCAGTATTCTACGTATTCGAGCCCCCAGATATATTTGAGTAAATGAATTGAGAAAAGTAGAATAGTTAGGCGTATCCTTCGCAGGAAAAACAGCCATAACTCAATCTGAAATGCAGATAATCTCTAGAGATAGATAGAAAAGAAAAAGGTGGACATTCAAAAGAACCAGACAGACAATCTTCAGCTTGACACTCGAAAAGAGAAACAAGACGAAGAAGGAGACTGGGACTTTCGCTGTCGCACACACGAGATAGAAAAGAAATAGAGACGGGAAAAAAAACGCTAGAACAACAGATAATGGAGGCCATCTTCGCTTGCTTTGCTTTCCATGTACTGTACTATGTAAAGACACAAATCATCCCAAGCAGGAAGAGTCGAATTTGATGCAGCATTGATCGTTTCATCTATCGCAACACAAAATAATCATTTCAGTCAATAGCGCGTCTCTCCGTTCCAATCGTCGTCGTGCATTTCCTGTGAATACACGCGGTTTCGTTGTCATGGCAAAAAAAAAGTAGATAGGTCAGATCGCACAGCAAGTCGATGGTCGGTGAGTGAATCGGCGGGGTTGGTGGTGATGAGATAATACTGGAAAATGATATGGAAAAAAAAGTAGGAAATGGTCAAAGAATGAACCGCAAGGGAGCTGTTAGCTGATCGTAGCTGGTAAGCTGCCCTACTTGGCAGTTGGAATTGGTAATGAGTAGATTTTTCAGGGAATGAAGGTGGTTAGGTAGGTTGAGATTGCGGGGACAAGAAGGAAAAGAACGAGTGTGTTTGACCGTCAACAGCGTTGAAGAGAGACCTGCATGGTGGCATGAAGCTGGATGCCAATGAAGCTGTCGGAGCTCTCGGTGGATGTGCAATGCTGTAATATTCAAAGAGGTAAGTCCAAATAGGAAAACAACGATCGATTTCTGTCGGTTGGATTCGTTTTAGCCAATTAGGCTGGTACACCATAGTCCTCGGTCCTGAGCATGACAGATTGGTGGATGCCGCTGGAACAACGCACATGGATGCACTTGAGTTGATATTGTTTTTCGGTTTTCATATTTTGCCAGTGTTGAAGAACTTTCAACATGCAGAACTCTAGGAGTTCAAGGTTAGGTCATAAGATTCGTCAATGCCGTTTCTGTCATTATTCTTTGATCCAAAGCGATCAAGTTCGCAACAAGTCGTCGAGGTCATTAGTGAGGCAACGGACGCCAGCATCACCGCCTTGAATAGGGCATATTGAGGATTTGCCTGCGAATTCGTTCCGCATCCGATATACCTTCTTCCGTCGGGTCAAATGGGAGTGGGTTGGTGATCTCTGGTTCCTTAAGTGGGGTGCCAGAAACGCTCGGTCTGAACTGCGGGAGCAATCCACTTGCGAACGGGTCGGAGAGGGACGGTGCATGTCGGACGAACCGAGGCGAGGGTTCGGGCCGTTTGGCGGCCTCAACCTTGAAAGGTGAGCCCAAGCGCTTGATACTGTCTCCAACCAAATTAAGAAGTGGATTGGCAGGCTTCTCCACGAGGCTATCCTCATTGCGAGATGTTGACGACGGGGGAGAAAATAGCTGATCAATGCCCCTAGGGTTCACCGCACTCATTGTCGCTCCACGGTTACGGATCCGGATCCGACGTTGGTCCATGTCGTTCAGCTTTCCTTGGCGGACAAGCTCCTCTAACTGGTTCCGTGTATCTTGTTCTACAGGAGTTTCTGCGGCAGGCGCATTGCTGGCGATAGTGGCGTCGTGCTCAGCAGCGGGGAACACAGGTGGGGAGCGTAGCCGGGAACCCGTGACGTGGATCGTATCCCTTCGATTCCTGGGCGTATGGCGCTGGAATCGTTTTCTTGAGCTATGGGGACCCCATGTATTGTATGTAAATGGGGACCCGAGCCGAGGTATGCTCTCCTGCTTATTTACGTTCGCATGGGTTCGCGCAAGTGGTTCTATGAAAGCTAGCTGCGCAACCCCTGATATGGGGGTGTTGAACCACTCATAATTCTCCTCCGGCAAAGAGGAATTTTCCGCCGTGAGTTGAGCGAGTGGTCCATGGACTGAGCTGGCCACAAGTGACACGCCCAGGTCGCGTGTTGCATACGCTGTTGAACTGTTGCTGTAGCCGTCAGCCTGAGAGGCTTCTTGTGAGGCCCGTGTGAACAAATCGTAGAATGGTGTCGGGCTCTTGGACTGCATCATCCGCTGATAATGTGGCGCGATACAGAACTTCTTTCGGCACAGGAGCTTGAGCCTTCGCCGGGTTGACGCCTCCGACTTGGGCCAGAGTGGTCTTGCGGCATCGGTTTTAGGGGTCGGAGTTTTGTCTCCGCCAGAACGTGACTGAAGTACGGCGAACGGAAATTGCTTGTCCAGTCTAAAGCGTCGTTTCTCCCAGGCCCGCTTTGCGTCGCGTGCAACTCGATGAGTGACACCTAGGGGCGGAATACTGCCGGGGGTCATTTTGAAGGGAGTGATTGTAGGATCCTGAAGATACAACTGATAAGTATTCCAGAGATGATTATCCATATCGATTGTCCAGCGCTCCTTTGCTGGGAAAGCCCGGGGTTTGTTCTTGAGAGCAGCACGCATCGATGGCGTCTCGGTAACATGCTTGGGGGGTAGTTCGAGATGGAAAAATGGATCGTACGAATCGCTTTCCATGCTCGTACAGCTTCCACCCGCCGAGCGTCGCGACCCGAATGTTTCGATAGATGAGACGGAAGAATCCGATGCTTGCGAGCAGGCGGATCCAGGTCGCTGAATGCTTTCTCCAAGAGTACGAGCATCTTCGGAAGACCAGCGCTCGGCGGATTGATTGTCAAGATCCGGGCGGATCTGAGCTGGAGGGGTCTTAAGGGCTACTCTGTCCCGAGGGGGCGCTAGAAAGCGGTCATCCCGCGACGGAATTGTCGGGCCTCCATTGACTACAAAAGCATCATGGGGCGTGGGAAATTCGATAGAGGGGAGGGGGATATCGGAGGGGTTTGGATAAGCCGTGCTGAGGTCATACTCGGCTTGCGCAAAGACGTTGGTTCCGGAGCGAACACGAGATCGGCGAAGGCGACAGCTGGAATGACGAGGCGGCGGCGGCGGCGGGACATCTAGGTGCGCTGGGATGCGCTCGGGTGTCCTCGGCTCCCCTATGCTGGTGGACGGGAAAGTGAAATTCTTGGGCAGCGTGCGCGAAAGGCCCAGCTGTCGAGACTCCATGGTAGACAGATGACAGTCTCGTACAGTGGTAGTTGGTGACAGGCTTGATCGCGACGACGTGATCCGAAGAATCAATACGTACTCTTAACAATGACACTTTCTCTGACACTATAACATGTCGCTCGTCTGCGGAAATGTTATGCGCAGGAAACGAGATATCCTCAGCAGGAGTCAAAGCGCTAACCGGGAGATTATAGATGGCGCGCAGTGTACGCGATCCCAATTGATCGCGCGGGAACTCAATCGTGGTCGATAATACTGCGTGAGCCGGACAGCCAGGTTCTGACGGTATCCAAAATGAAGGATAGAGCAAAGAAAATCGTTCTAGCTAGTAGTTGGACGTCTTGAGTCAAGCTTCAGGGAGATGGACTAAGCGCGCTTTTGAGGGGGGGGGGGGGGGTTCGGGGTCGGCGGAGGGTCGTAAATCGTAACAGTAGATGAGTAAAGAAAAGGAAAACAAGGTGCGTCAAGGTGTGAGTGGTCGGTTAAGAGTAGTGAGAACAGCGATGTGAGGCGCGAAGGTGTGGAATGTAACGATGCGCTGGAATTGAGACAGAATCACATTGAATTGTAGCCGCGCTCCATTGCCCGATCGTCGATTTACTTGAAGTATGGGGAAGAGGCGGACATTGACCACACGAACCCGAAACCAACAAAACACGGAAGGAAAAAAAGAGGAGAGAAAAGAAAAGAAAAGAAAAGAAAAGAAAAGGAGGAAAGGGATAGTCAAGGACGAGCGACAGGCTCTATCGGAGAATAAAGGAAAAAAGAAGAGGGAACACGTAGCTGTATAGAGGAAAAAGGGAAGAAGGGAAGAAGGGTGGGGAGAGAAGGAAGTGAGTTGGGAGAGGAAGAGAGAGAGGGTGGAGGGTGGAGGGTGGAGGGTGGAGGGAGGGAGGGAGAGAGAGAAGGTACGGAGTAACTAACTGGTAAGTTAACTTGAGTTAAGGTAAGTTAAGGAATAAGGGAGAGACAGCCGAGGACAGAAGCGGTAGCCGCCCGTACAGTACCCTTGGGTTGGTCGGGTTTGGCGGACTGCTACCTTACCACTGTAAGTTAAGCTAACAGTGGAGTTCCTCCCACCACGTCAAGTCCTTCCAGTCCCTCCCCTCCCTCTTTTAGCCTCCGGGAGAAGAAGCTCGATCCTCTCCATGCCCCGTTCCATGGATGCCACACGGACAGACATGCAATGATGCTATGACCATCACATCTCATGTCATGTCATCAATCCAGTGATTTCCTGCCTGTTTTTCTTTTTTTCTTCTTCTTCTTTTTATTTCACGATATGTACCCATACCAGAAGAAGAAGAAGGAAAATTAGACAAGAAATAAAAGTAATAAGAAAAAAAAGAATGGCAATCAAAACCAAAGAAGGACAAGAAAAGTCGCTCGTCACATTGGCTCTGGAATGCGGAGAATTGATATGCTGGACATGCTCGTGTGAGCCACTCAGCGACAGGAATACTATACTATGCTGACCCCCTTTTCCCCCTTTCTTCCTCTTCCCTCTTGTGTCATGATTGTTATTCTGTCTTGTTCTTCTCTCTGGTAATTTTGAGTCTGCACCACTTTTCCTGATTTGCCCTTTCTTCACAATTTGCGGGGCAGTGTCATTCCGACTTCTGACTTGGTGACTGAATTGTCAGTGTACTCGAGGATGAGGCCGTCATCACCTGCGTCAGAGGAGGAAAATGATGCTGGATATAGATTGATAGTGAGCGAGGAAGATCCGCCTCACCGCGTTGCCCAACCATCCCTCGGAACGGGCAGAGAAAAAAAAAATACAAAAGAGATGTGCGCCTGCAGTGCCTGGTCGAACAAATGACAATTCCGCTCGGATGGGGCAAATCGTTGTTGGTCGCCCCCCACTAGAAGTGTCCAGGACTGTACCTTAACAGACTAGTCGTCTAGTGGTGACTCTAGTCGAGGTACCTTTGCACGGGCTGGGCTGACATCGATCGGGCCATGCCCAATAAATTAATTTCCCCATTACTCTATTCGCAACATTGCTCGTCCTCGACCCTGCAAGGGTGTCTCGCGGTGTGATGCCGCGAGCAGGCTTGGGTTTCCCACTGTCGGGTGCAGGGTGCAGTGTGGCCCGTACGTGGCTGCTACTGGTGAGTCGTAGCAGCAGTGGTAATCTCGCTGTACTACCAAGTAGTATCTGGCTCCTCCATATTTTCTACCCCTTCTGCCTTCTAGGTGATGTGATGACAAGCTTCATGGTCCAGAAGACAGACTCACGAGGGGTATCAGCGGGTCCTCCATTGGATCGACAAACCGTGCTTGGATCCCGCCAGAGACCGGAATAGCAGTCTCAACTTCATCCTAGTCTACTCCCTAGTGTGGTAGAAAAAGTCGGGTGGCTGGGAAGGTATTTTGTTGGCCTTGGGGTGGTAGGCAATTGCTGCTGCTCGAAAGAGATTATTGGCCTCGAGGCCTGAGGAAGGATAGAGGACTCGAGACTCGAGAACTGTGTCTGTGTCTGTGTGTTGACGGGGAGAGGGGAGAGAGCGAGGGAGAGCGAGTTGGCGAACACTCTCCCCGAAGGCGAGAACTCCAGTCTCCTGCAGAAGCATTCCCCACCGTCAGGCCAAACGAACCCCCGATGCACTGGGCGTGCATTAGCGACCCCAACCAGGAGCCAGTAGCATGGCGGCGGTCGAAATTGTGATCAAGCACTAGTTTGAGTGGTATGGTTCAAAAGGATGAGTCGGTGGCAGTGAGCGAGGAGACACCGGTAGTAGATTCTTCCAGTCTTCTCTTCCTTGTACTGTACCGTCTGTACCACAAGACGAACCCTTACCTGAAACCACCATGTGATCTATAAAACTTTCCAAGCAATGTATGTGTAATTTACCTGTATTGCACATAGGTAGTGCCATTCTGTGCGCCGGAAACACATGGAACAGAAACTATCAATCAGTAATTATTGATATCAACTATCATCTTGGTGCTTCAAACACATAAGTATGAAGGTTCAACGTAAAGGAAAGAGACTTGTAACTATGTTGCCCATCGACTCCTCAAACCTATATACTGATGAGCGCCGTATAACTCAGGACTTATTGAAATTCTACACTCCAAGTCCCGTAAATGTGTCGGTTCCCACGAGGAAATCAACAATTCCGGATGACGCCTGAAGATCTCCCTCCCGAGACTCGGCTTTGTCTGGATCAATCCACCCTTCTGTGACGCCTCCCCCGAAATCAACGATGCAAAGGTTGTTATCGGTGTCGACTTGTATATTGTCTGGCTTTGGGTCACCCCAAATGATCCCTGCGGCATGCAGCCTTCGCATTATATTTTGGAGTTGATCTGCCCGAATATGCCGGGAAATAGCATCTATGTCGATATCTGCCAAAGTGCTGTAATGCTCGATGTATTTGAGCAGAATTCCCGAGATGCTGGTACTGGTATAATCCTCCCTGGCCTTACACCAGTTCATATATGATCGAAATACGTACAACATCTAAAAGACCCCTAGATCTGATCTGAACTAATGCAAGTATCTCACACTCGGTTTGCTTACTGCAGTAAGTTGACTTAAAGAATCGATTTGCACCAGATCCAACCGAGATCTTTTTGGGCCGTTGAGAAAGATCCTCCTCTGTCTCGTTGCTAACAATATGACTCTTCAAGCTTCGACCGAGGGAATTCCGCGTTCTACAACAGCGGGGGATAGATCAGCCTCCGGGGAGAATTGTCCTATAAGCCGCTGATTTACCGACGACTGAATATGGAACTTCTCATTTAGAGTCTGTAGGGTAAGACCCAAGGTTTGTATGTCGAACCAATCCTGCAGAGTTCGCACTCGAGGTTTTCGCTCCTCCGAAGATAAGAGCTTCATGACAGAGTTGCATTTGGATGCGATCCAGAAGCAGATCTCTTCCATCGATTCCCCCTCGACGCTCTCTTCTTCATCACCCTGCTCCACCGCAGCATCCTGCGAGTCCAATTTGTGCAAAAGAGCCAAGTCCTGTATTGTGGTCTTCAAATCATCTTGAAAATATTTGGCGGAGACTGTGATGTGAAATCGCATACCGTATCATAGTATCGTCAACTCAGTATTGGTGCCCGCGCCGCGGAAGAATACGAGCATTATCATATGCTGGTAGCCCCTTCATATCTACCTGTAGCTGAGCGATCTAAGTTATGGCAATTGATTCAAAAGGTAACTATACATCGAAGCCAATATCAATCTGACAGTAAATCTCCAAGCGACGATGGACGAACGTGACATGGCTACCCTACCAAGATATTTAAGTTAGATTCCATGTGCGAACAACCACGATGCGCTCAAGTGGCGATGCCTGTGGAGTTCTTGTCAACTTTCAATACTTGGGGGAAAGTGGGCTTGCTGCAAATGCAATTAATATGGAGATAGATTCCCTTGTACAGCAGAGGAAGTTGCAACCATGAAGTATGTAGGCAATGCAGAGCAGCAAGATCAAAGATCAAGGTAAGTTAGTTGGTGTATGTACTGTACCTTACAAAGGTGATATGAGCTGTAATGATATGATATTGATCTTGTTGGCAGATTATATGGCCCGACCTGGTATTCTCGTTGTATGTATTGTGACTGTAAGCCAGTATTACACGCCCACCCGGAATTAAGGCATCTGACTAACCGTAGAGGAGCTAGTTCAAGCACAGGACCTATACCCGATTGAGCTTATCTGCATATTCCGACGCGTGCCGAGGTGGGGTAAACGCGACCTTACCGCGTGATCGACGCGTATCCGCGCGTCTGTGTAACAGAACGTATATGACTTGCTTTCCACCACTCGCAACGTGCCGGTCTCAGTACGGAGATTACCATCTTACGCAGTACCGGCAGGGTTCGGTCCCTGACTAAGAGATTAACTACTGGGTAAGTTAGTTAGCATTCACACCTCTTCAACATCCCGAGTACTTGATTCTCAAGCTCCAACTTGTTTAGACACCAAAATAGAAACTGGGTAAAAAAGCAGGTGGCTGGGGCTGGGGCACCTCGGTTCAGGAACAAGGAAGAGAGTCCACCAGAGAGTCTACGGAAGACTATTCTTAGACACCGCTACTATGAAATCCACCACGCTAAGTGGCATAGAAATCGATGTGAAGGTATGAAGTTATGAACGGACTACATACTAAATAGGTGGAAGTGGGGACGTCCCCAACCCGATCGACTCATAGAATCAAAGCAGACTTTCAGGAACCAAGAGCAGTGCGAATCTGGGTCGGGTTCAGATCTAACCCGAACACTGCTCCCCATGGATCGAACAACAGTTACCAGAAGTTGTCGTTGTCGGGATCTGGTTGAGCTTGGCTCTTCTTTAGATCTATTGACTGACTCTCCTTCCCGTAAATCATCATAGAACGCATAGAACGCCGCATACTACCCATTCTAGGTACTAGGCAGACAGAAGAGAGTATACAAACACAAGCACGAAAACTCCATCTAAATCCCTGGCGATGACCGGATACTCCTGCCTCCACCGTTGATCCATTAAGCTTATCAGCCCTCGTCTCTTCTGCATGCACTGAGTAGTCGAGTATGTGCTATTTTACTGTAGACAACGCTCGATACTAGATACCTACGCCCAGTACTCTGTACCCTAACCTTAAGCAGTCAACCCTTGACAGGTGATCCCAAGGATCGTGTATGTGCATATCACACACATGTCAACAAGTCCTACACTAAATGTTGATTCTCCAAAACCAACACATCGCAATGCCATCCCCGTCAACCCCTGGCAATCGACCATTATACCCTATCTCCGTGACTACGACAACCTGTACCGGAGTGTAATCTACCCACCTCCTGTGTGCTTAGTTTATCACCCTAAGTCCAGTCCAGCCCAGGACAGGACATGTACAGTACTGTACATGCGAGTGCATACATCGAACCAAATACCACCCACCACAACCTAGATCATCCCCATCCGACATCCAGAGGAAAACAACCCACGGGCCAACTGCTTCGCTATCCTAATCATGCACGCATCCCACAGAAGCCTCAGTACTCAAAAACTAAACCTCTCCAGCAAGCCCCCACCTTCCCTCATCAAGTATATGTTTCAGCAAAATCGAATCGCCTATGCTATGGATGTAATCCCCAGTGTGCCCGCATTCTCGGGTCCGACGGAGTCAAAGTATGTAGCATCTGCACGCCAGTCCCGTGGAGGGAGTCCTGTACGCTGATCTCATCACATTTATCCCGGGACACGCGCAATATGAGTGATTATTTCTCCCTTTTGCTCTTGTTTACCCACGTCATAAGTTATACCGCCCCCGAAGTTACAAGCGGATTCTTGTTGCGTCGGGGGGGGAAAGGGTGGAGGCGAAGGGGAAGTTCGCCGCATTGATTTACTGGATCCTGCTTGATGGTCCGCTAACTATCCCTTGCTTCAGGTGGGTTTCACTTCTCCTCTTGAGTATGTATGAACTTGCGTCATAATGGTGTTATATGTGAACGGTTTGTGCCGGCCTGCTACTGCAGTCCTGCAGAGCAACCCAAAGAGAAGAGACATGCTTGTTGTCTTTGATGTACAGTACAGTACCAAATGATATCGTTTCTGTTCTAATCAACCTCAAACACAACAAACATTCCCTAAGCTCTACTCCAACCTCGACAAATCCACCTCCGGCTCCCGAGACCTGAACAACAACCGGACGGTCGGGTCGCAGATCGACTCCGTCCCATGCATGAAGTTCGGCGGTCGCTCAGTCCGATCCTCGAACTTCCAGTCGTAGCGCATCAGCAGATGCACGAGCAGGATCTTGATCTCGTTCGCCGCGAAGAACCGTCCGGGACACGCGTGCATCCCGTGACCGAAGGCGTAGTGCTCCGCGCTCGTCGTCACGAACTGGAACCGGTGCTCGTTGCCGGGGGATTTTCGCCGCTTGTAGAAGCGCAGGCCGTCGTAGACATCCGGGGAGGTGTAGATGGACGCGTCCTCGAAGATGTGGGCGGAGACGAGCATGCTTGCGCCCTTGGGGATGCGCGTGCCGTCGGAAAGGGAGACCTCTTTCGTGGCGAGGCGGTTGAGAAAGGCTGGTGGATGTTATGGTTAGCATGATGGGTATAATTGGTAGGGGTGGTGGTGTTTGGCTATTTACCAATTCCGGCGGCGTTCATCCGCTGACTTTCCTTCAGCACGCTGTCCATTTTCTTCATCTTCGTGAGGCTGGTCTTCTTCAGAGAGCCGCCGTCTTCGGTAATGACCGTCTGGATCTCGTCGCGGAGTATCTGGATGTATTCGGGGTAGGCCGTCAGGTCGTACATCACGTTGGTCAGGAGGTTGGACGTCGTGTGGATGGCGGCCATAGTGAGGCCCATTTGCGCCTGCGCCACGTTCAACGGACGTCCGTCTGCAAGCTCATGAAACCAGTCCAGTGTATCCTCGTGGCTTCGAGGCGGGTTCTCTGCGGGGAGCCGCCCCTCTCGAATGAGTCTTCGCCTTTCGATCTCTTTGTTGACGATCGCGGACCCAATCTTCACATGTTTGCGCACCCCCTGGACGGTGGGTATGAACCAGTGCACTAACGGTTGAAGAATCGATGGCCAAGCTCGAAGATCGCGCGCACCCACGAAGGCGTCGATGGTGAAGTTGACGGAGACATTCAGCCACTGTTCGTCACGACAGATTTTCTCACCCAGAAACACGAGGGTAGATAACCGTGCAACGATGTATGGTATGTCCATAGCGAAGCGGACCGGAGTCCATGCTGTGTGCCACCATGGTCAGTGTTGAGCAGTCCGTCTGAGAGGGGGAGCACATACCATCACTTTTGGGAAGCTTTTCTCGTAGCACGGCGCTAGTTTCCTTCGATAAAGGAGTCACGAGTTGACCTGAGTATCTTCTAGCGGTGCCGCATGCCGACTTGGAGCGTCACTTACCGAGAGAATGGGTAAGACGCTTGTTGATCACATCTATCTGAATCGGCTCTATCTTCTCGAAGACCTCGAAGCCGGGAATTCTAGATCCAAAAAAGAACTGCTCGGATATGACTTAGATCGGCTCGGCCAATGCTATACCATAAGGGTAGAAACTACCTTCTTGTTCGCTTCGTCGAAGCTGAGATGCGGGTGGTTCTTGACCTCATCCACAAGGCTGGGGTGGAGCACGAGGGTTGGATCGGAGGCTGCGACCAGTTGAAAGACCTTTCTGCCCTATATCGAGTCCCTATTAGCGCATGGTACAAGGCACCTGTGAGAACTCTACCCTATTTGCCCTGGGCAGAACAATGCACGAACCTGGCTGAACCCCTCCGCGAAGAGCTCCTTAGCAGATGTCACGAATCGCTGCTTAGCCTTGCTGTTCGAGAGCTCCCATCTGCTTTTCCCAATCAGAGGAATGTTTTTGTAAGGAAAGCTTTCAGTGGACTCCTGAGAAAATCTCAGCACAAAGGCCAAGAGAAGGGCCACGACTGCGCCTTGCAGCAGATGGTAGCTTTCCAGCTGCTCGATGATGAAAGCCATTGTTGACTGGCTGAGTGACCGACATTTGACAAAACGAGGGGGAGCGACGAGGTTTAAATAAGAGGATACTTCGGGCTGACACCTCTTCCTCGAGCACCGATCTCAAGCTTTCTTGGTAGCCTGGGCGTGCCAATCATGCGTCGTTCACCGATTCCATCGCCAGCAGCCCGTCGATAGGGTGTCAGACTCGGGTGCAAAAGCTTCAAAGCTACCGTGGACCCTGTCTAGGACTGGATCCACTCGATACGCCCAATACGTTGAAGGTCTCTATCCAATCTGGATCTATACCGTTGCAATGGCGAGTCAGCGATTGGTCGCTGGTTGGAGCACGACAGATGGGCTATGGTAGATCGGATAAAAGACTGACAGGCGCTGGTAGATTTGCTGCCTGCAAAGCCTAAATTTGTTCCAAAGTTTCGATAGAACTCGACGATAGGCGCGGGGATTACCTAGCAGGGCAAATTGGATGTGCGGCGGTTGGAGATCCTCGACCCCGACATTGGTTATTTTGGTGTCGGAGTAGAAATTTGACTTTTGGATGTGGACGATGTGGACTGGAATATCATGAATCGAGGCTCGATAATTGGACACAACGAAGAAGGTCCTAGAGTGTGAGGTCTATTAGACGAGGTTTCAACAGTAGGCAAGTAAGTCACTGTAGGTAGGGAGGTAGGTGGTACCTGATCGTTAGGATAAGTAGGAGAAAAGCGGGTCTGGCCATCTTTAGTTATATTGAATTGGTCCCATGCTATTTGTCCGCTCGTGTGCAGAGGTGGTTCAGTGTGGATCCGTCCATGCATCCATCCTGGAGGATGAAGGGAACGTGCGATGTGGTCGATCATCGTACTCGAATACGCCCGCGGCTGCCTCAGCTTCTCACTCGGCTCCTTTCCGTGCCGCCGTCTTTTTCTTCCCAACTATACTGACTACACTGACTACACTGACTACACTGACTACACTGGCGCAGACACGGCACAAGGATCCGAGAATCAAAGCCTAGATTCCAATAAAGCCTAGAGCCTTCGCCTAACCTAGAGTAACTACATGAGAAGTTACTAATTATCCTAGGGACCTGACATTGATTGCGCGATGCCAGCAACAACGCCAAGCTTGAAACTTCCTCACGAACTGACCAGTGGCATGGACTTCATGGAGAAGCAGTGGGTGCTGTCATCTCTTCCCTACTCCAAGCATGAACACACAAGGCCATGATGTATCTCTAACTCTCTCAGACTGGCACTCCCGCGCGAAGGCACTCCTTCCGATGCTCGCAGCTTAAAAGAAAGACCTTATCCGAATGGACTGAACTCGGCATCTGTGGGGGTTCCCATGTTCGTTGGTCGGGATGATCATCTTCTGCCCTCACTTGTTGGTTCCGGCAGGTGGGGGGGGGGGGACATCCATGATCATGGAGCCGACGTACAATGCAACACCACAAACCGAGGCGAACCCCGCGTCGTCCACGCAATCAATATACGTACGAAAGAACAGGCACCAACTTGGCCCCTGAGTATAAAGATGATCCAGGATCAACTCTCACCAGCAACTAAGGGGCAGCATAACTCTTAACAGATCTTCTTTGCCATTTATACTCTCCCGAATCGCACCTTCAGACTGAATCATGGCATCTCTATCGCTCAGACAGTTTCTTGAGCACATTCGAGCCTTCAATGCCAAAGACTACCAGAAACAACACTCGTTTTACCATCCAGATGTCCGTCTTGTAATTCCCGACCCGGAGGTGGGAACCCTCGTGGGGTCCGAAGGCATCATGAATCACTATGCTGTACTTCAAGCCACCGCGGAGGAGACCGTCGTCCCCATACTGGTCATGGTTGACCAAGGGCACATTTTCTTCGTGATGGAGACATATTTTCGCTACTTGCAGGCCACAGACCGCGCTGTCCACGGGTACAAGGCACAAGCCGGAGATGTAATCATGGTCACCGTGTGGGCACTGTACGACATGGACGGTGGAAAAATGAAGCACATTACTTGCAACGGGCTCCACCATGATTTCCTTGGCACGGTGGATGTGAATCAACGGATCAACGAGAGCTGGAGTCGAGCAGACAGTACGGTCAAGCGTTGCTGGGGCTCTGCTTCCCTGCTCTAGAAAGTATTCGTACTCCGACTAAAAATACTGGACATCATACTCATACATCGTTCTTTATCTATCAATACACTTCCTACCATAGTATACACATCATCAACCCACAACCTCTAAACTACAAACGCACCAACCTCACGACCCACAAACCAACCCTTCCCTCAGATAATCTCGAAACACATCCTCCGGCGACCCCTCCGCCGTGCCCAACCTCTGAAACCCTTTACGCATCGACTCTTTCCCATCTTTCTTCTTCCTCTTGTTTGGCGCCATCCACCCCTTTGGACTACTCATCGCCGACGCCGCCGTCGCAAACTGCAGCCGCCGCCTCACCCGCGACGCCAGCCCGAGCTTTTTGGCCGTGGCCTTGCGGGAGACAATCTCTACGCACGGCGACGGCTCCTCTTCTGCTTGTTCTTCATCGTCATCGTCCTCGTCCTCATCCTCAGCGCACAGCGTGTTTTGCCGCTGGTGAGTAAATGAAATGCTCTCCGGTAGGTAGATCCTATGGTGGTGGGTCGTGGAACTGGACGCCGTCCGCGACTGTTGGTGACTTAGGAGGGGTCTTCTGTACGAGCTGCTGCTCTTTCGGGATCGGGGTTGTGTGATTGCTGCTGCCGCTGGGGTGGGACACAGGGGGTGTTGTTGCTGGGCGAGCTGTTTCTTGGACGTTCTGGTCTTGATGGGGCTGAATCGTTTGCGACCCGGGGGCTGAGTTACCTTACGGGTTAGTGTCTTCTTGTCAGGGAACGGTGAGATGTCTTGTCCAAGAAGAGTAGATGTTTGTTAAATAGCGAAGTTGCGCAGTGAGCTGCAACCTGTATCCATGATATAGTAGTTCCGTACCGGGTTTGGTGGTGTCTCCGGGAGACGATGCGTAAAGCAGCCGTCCTCATCCTTAAAGCGGGACTGTTTCGCCTTGCTGGGCGAGGATTTGAAGGGCGAGCTGACCCTCATGGCTGTCGGGCGGCCGGTGATTTCTGGTCTGGTTGTCTGTGGTGGTGGGTGGTGAGCTGTCTTGGAATGTGTAGGAGTCGGTGGGGGCACATGGTGGTGCTATTGCATAAGACCTTGACGACAGGATTCAGAAACAACGGGCAGAGAGGAAGAGAGGGAGGGTGTGTTGGGCTGTGTCGAAGGGGCCTCCTTGCTAAATACTTGCTTGGGGGTGTGTCTGGACCATTCTTTGGATGTTGTTGTGGCATAAAATTGCATTTCGGGAGGAATGTAAATAATGCAAGTCGGTTTTTTGTGTCGGTCTCTGGTCGTGGATCGGGCTATTATGTTGGAGGAAGATGGGATTCAGGTCTAGCGATGAGTACGTGATTGTTTGTTTTCGATATCCACGAATGGATACAATAGCCAATGGTTTGGTTGACAGAGGTCTGCCACACATTGGACCGTAAACTTGTCAAATGAGTTGCTGACATTCCTCGCTGATCCAGAGCATGGTGTCCAAGTCAATAGACCCCGCATTCTCCGGATGAAAGAACCGGCCTACTGTCTCGCTTCAATTATCCACTACTTGCTGGACGAACTAGGTGAGGAAGTGCCTCTCCTATACTAGCTGTCAGGTTGTGCTACTGTTGCCCTCGCAGAAGGCCCGCGCTTGCCGTGGATATATTGATGAGTCAGTAGACGATAATAGCTGTTATTGATTATACGTGCTATAAAACAGTCACTCTAAATCGTCCTTAGCAGATGGTGGTCGTGGCGTTACTCGTAGTATAGAGACCCATCCATAGTAGTACAACAAGCCTTGTTCAGACTGGCTCCGCCGCGAACTGACAAGCTCAATGCTTTTCAACTACGAGACATATAAGCATTCAACCCCTCGGTCTCTGACATCGAGCAAATCAAACTCCTTATCTCGAGTTATTTAGTGGTAGCAAATACTTGAGTATTTCATGGAGTAACAGCCAATCAATAAGTTCCAAGAACGATTACATCAAGATGAACCGATGGTGGGTGGCAACATGACGTGAAGCTGCTTGCTCGACAGACCCAGGTACAGCTCCTCCTACAAATAGTATACTGAACCTAGCAAGCGTGAACTCAACAATATCCCCTACTGAATGATCCAGTGATTTATACAGCAATAAATTGCAACCTCACGCCTAATTTCCTTTGTGATCCCGCACCAGCTACTATATATCACTCCCGACCCGAAACGTCACCAACCTACACCAACAACACCCCCAACCCCAAAACAAACCAACCCCCACAAGAGTAAGAGAAAACACTACAGAATGACCGAAACAAGCCCCATCTACAACCTCATAGCCGCCATGGACGCCGAAGACGACGCCACCGCCTACAACACCACCGCCGCCCCGGACGACGACGACGCCACAACCGACTACGGCGCCCGCGCCGTCCGCAGCGCCGCCATGCCAGCAGACGAGGCCGACGAGCACCGCCTCGCGGACCATGTCTCCGTCCAGGACTCCGCGCCGAGGGAGGATCCAATGGTGTCGCGTCGCCGGCGGCTGGAGACGTCGACGGCCGGGGGCGGGTATCAGTTGCGGGAGGTGGAGGAGCGGGCGGATGGGTCGAGGCGCGTGCATCGCGAGTACGAGGATCCGGCCACGGGGGTGACTTATGTACGGGATTTGGATGGGTGATTGTTTTCTGCTGGGAAAGATGGGGGGGCCGAGGGATTTGGGAGTGGGGGTGGATTTTGGGCAAGGAGTTTACGGGATAGTATGGTATATGTATGTTATGTCAGGTGGGAGAGTAATGTCGAGTATAGCAGTAGCGTCTGGTCAAGCTCACTCAAATGGGAATTCAGGGTCTGTGACGCCACCTCCGTACGTGACAGACCTAACCTTCGATACGGATACAGTCCACTGTAACCAATCCATTCAATTCAAGCTTTTGATATCTCTTCCCTCCTGGCTCACAAAAGATAGAAGGGAGTCAAGAAACATATAATTAACTCCAGCCCATGCTATGCCTAAGCGCCATATTAACGAAAGCCCACACACACACGAAGGGGGAATCCCCTGACAACAAGAAGAAAAGAACCACCCGGCACAAAAAACCCCACGAGACGACAGGCCAGATTAAGCCTCTCCATCCGACGTCTCCTCCTTCGACTTGCTCTTCTTCTTCTTTTTCTTTTCCTTCCGGTCCGAGGCGTCGGCATCCGCCTCCAACTCCGCAGCCTCTGACTCGCGCTTCCGCTTCTTCTTCTCCTTCTTCTCCTTCTTCTCCTTCTTGGCCTTCTCGGCCGCCTCGAGCTCCTCGGGCGCCACGAACGCCTTCTCGCGCTCCTTCATCTTCTCCTCCCGCTTCACCCGCTGTCTCTCCATGATCTCCTCCTTCTGCGCCCGGTCCTTGGCCTCCTTGGAGAGGAAGTACTCGCCGGACTCGATCTGCAGATCCACCTTGCTCTTCTCCGGAGCCGGGGGGAAAGGCGTGTACACCTTCTTCGTCTTGTCCGTGACCTTGAACGGCATGCGACGCTTCGACAGGGTGCGCTTCTTGAAGTTGGGCAGGAACCGGTCCCACGACTCTTCCGCCAACGAGGGATCCTTGGCCAGCTCGCGCTTGATCATGAGCTCCTTGATGTGGTAGATCGGGTGGATGTTGGCCATGCAGTCGTTGATGACCTTGCGCACTTCCTTCAGCCCCTTGTAGGGTCCCATCGCGGCGACCGTGTTACCCTGCACCAGGATGTAGGTGCCGGTGAGGAGCTCGAGCGCCTTGAGGGTGGAGCCGCCGGGTCCGAGGATACGTTGGCGGCGCTTGACGAAGCGCTCCTTGTTACGGACTTGGTTGCGGATCTTGATAACGTCGCATGCGACTTCGTCGTCGAGAATCTTCAGGGCCTGGAGGATAATGTCAATCAGCGAGAAGTTTCTTTTTGGATGTAGCGTCGGCGACAAGGGACATTTCCTACCTGTTGCACTGGGACACTTCTCGACAGAAGCTTGATCAAATCGCGCGCCTTGAGAATGGCAGCAGGATCAAAGGTCTTCCGCGTCGTCTTGACCGTCATGCTACCCTCGACCAAATCGAGGGTACAAGCAATGCCATATTTCTCCAGGGATCTCGTCACGAGGGGCCAGGCCTCCTTGAGATACTGTTCGCGGTACTTGGGGAACAGAGTCGCAAACGAGGATTCCTCGGCGAAACTACCGGCGACATTGTCTTCGGCGTTGAAAGGTTCGACCTGGTCGCAGATTTGCAAGGTTAGCATGTGTTTTTGTCGCCAGTACATCTCGAAAAATCTTTTTCTTTTTTCTTTTTTTGGTATGGAATCATTGCACCAACCTTCCATTTGTCGATATCATCCGTATCCCACGGCTTATCTCTCTTGTATGTGGAGGGCATGTTGAGTCCTATTTGCGACAAACAGGGAGGAAGACTCTGGATGGATCTGCAATTCGATGCAAAGAATGATTGATGATCGAATTGGCGGCCAACTTTTTCTGAGGCGCTTCCGCCCCGCGGGCACTTACCGGTTTAGGTAGTGCTGGTGGCCAGAAACCCCAGGCCAACACAAGGCATCAAAATAGTGGCTCCGGAGCGCCTAGAGCGATCGATCGAGGCTCAATATTTGTGAACATCAATCAGCTCGTCTACCATATTCGACTTTGTTACGTTGCCACACTACGTATGTACGGTATGGGGTGCAGAAATTGTATCAATTTTGACTCTGTGCGCAGACAAGAACTTCCCCTTTTGCACAGTGAGCGCATCTCCATCCCTGATGTATCATATTCCCGTCGAAGCTATTTCATGACATCCATTGGAGCTGCACTGCTCAGTATGCAAGGCTTCTACTGCATCCATTCTATCAATTGTGTGTTTTGACGTTGCAGTTCAGGAGTACCGGAGCCGAGCGAAACTTATTGGAACAAAAGAAACCGATAACGGCCTCATAGACCCGACGCAATGACTCGCGCGAATAATTGGTTCCTTGGCCGCGATTTAAAGTGCATTGAGCCGCCCAATAATGCTCAGGCAGCTTCGCAGCTTCGATCACGCACGGTATATATTGTACGTAGGCACGAAGAAACTTGTGAGATTGAGTCACAAGAATAGTTGACACAATTCGATCGATTGGTGTAAGGTCTTGCTTGGATCTGAGCTCTGGATGCACGAGTATTATCAGGAGTGAATCAGCAGGCTGGAGAGTTCACCTAGCCTTCCTGTTCTTCGTGGAAACTATTGTTGCTAGGCTGTGGTTAAGGGAGGGAGCGAGCCCTGATCAGCCATTCGTAACTTGCCTGAGAACGAGCTTGAACACTCAGTCAGCATCTTGATCGACTAATCGCATCAATGACATTGTGGGTCGCGGGGTATGCAGACGAGAAAATAGACCTGTCAACGTCGTGGGAGATGTTTGGTTAAGTGCACATTTCGACTCCTCAACCAGCGAGGCGATCCCGTGTGTCTGGTTCCAAGTTCCAGACCCGAAGCGCCAAATCGTGGACAGTCCTCGAACCTTCCCTTTTCCCTCGCTGACTTTGCTTCCTCCCTTGCCTGAACTTCTCCCTTATCTCGGTTGCAATCCCATTGTCATTCTTTCGTATTAAGAATCAATATGATTCAAATCAGGTGCGCCGTTTCTGCGGACTCCCATGGCGCACTTCAAGATAGTGCGTCATCGATGTCCTTCTATCTTCGGGGACTTCGTGCAATCTTGCAAGCTGGTGGTTTTGCCAGCACATACTTGTCACAGACCCTTCGCTCAATTATGGCCAGCATGGTCGCAGAAAACCGAGATCATCTCGCATTGGCAGACTTTATGCACACTGCTTTCGTTTTCTTCGAGTCGAGTTGAACAAGAAAGGCCATTCGACTGTGTATTCAACGAAGCCCGTCGTATGAGCGTGTAACTGTATTCGATCAGCACGCTACACCACAGACTCACAAAGGCCTTGTAAGAGCTGTCCCCTGTCATAAGCCAATACCTATGATAGATAGTTGGCTCTTTACCTGCGCCAAAAGAGATCGACGTGGTGCTCGCTCGCGATTATTTCAAGACCCCACGACCAGCCCCCAACTCAAATTAGGAGATAAAAGCACGGGCGGATTCAATTTCGAGTCTTCAATTCAACTGCTTATCTAGAACCAGTATCAATTTGTCTGAGCGAACAGCGAAGGCTCGCCCCTCATGACCAGTCCGTCCATGGAAAGTCGAGTACAACAAGCGGTTTGAGACCAGCTCCGGACCAGAGCAGAATCATTGACAAACGTCACGGCTGAAGCCCCGAATGTCTACCGAGGCTTTCTCCCAATACAAACATACCTAAGTCGTCAGCGCCCAACTGACAGCGCAGTGGAAACGAGCTACTTACAGTGGAAAGTAGGCTTTCAGGCCCGGTCTTCCTGCTTCTTCCTGTGCTCTGGAAATCATTCGCTGAAACTCGTCATAAGGCATTCTCAGACGTTGAGTCATCGGATACAACGCCAATGCTGATAGCAGCTGTTTGGTACATTCGAGGTTGGCTGCACCTATGTCCCGTGCTCTTGGATCTAGTCTGGTATCAGTTCCATGATATACAATTCTCATGCATTGGAAGATTTACCACTGGACCACCCAGAGAGAGGAAGAGGGATCATTTTTGCGTCCACCTGGTCCAGTCCTGCTGCCACCATAAGGTCTCTCAAGCGCGTTCCTACACGAAGGTCCTTTGTATCATTCAACGACTGCATGAACTTGGTGCTCCATTGTCTCAACGCATGATCCTCGGTGAGGGACCCATTGTCTGATTGCACATTGAAGTACATCTCCACCATCTGGACCCAGCCACCCGGCTTCAGAACTCTAGTTTTCTCACATAAGTCAGCTTATGGCGTCAAAAAAGAAATCAACGATTCCATGACCGTTTCGCCACATGCCAGACCTCTTGATATCCCAAATATAAGACAGCCATCTGGCTCGGTCAATGCCTGTCGCTTGCATCCTCGAATGAACGAGATCGAAATGATTCGACGGAAAGGTAAAGGGGCGATTCAGATCGTCGACCTACAACGCCTTCCATCAGCATTTTCTGACGCAAACGCCATGGGAAGGTATCTGGTAAGCAAGCCAAAAAAAAAAAAAAACTCATTAGACGGAAGAAGCGTTCTCATCGACTGGTATGCCGAATGACTTTTCTCCAGACCCAGGGTTAGGAGTCGTACCTGAAACCATAGATTGTCCGGAGCATAATCAGGGCTCATCTGGGGCGATATGTCGACCCCAATGACCTTCACACAGTGGTTAGCGAAACTGAGTGTCGAAGGTGATGTATGTGGCCCGACCTCGCATTGTGGATATTGCTCCGCTACTTCGACCGCCCAAGCTCCTGTACCGTGGCCGCAATCGAGAATCCTTTCGGGGTTGTCGCTCGGCAGGGGTGGGAAGATGAGCCGGTCGTCAAATGCCTTATTGAAGATTTGGTGTTGAAGTTCGAGACGTTCCACTTCATCCTAGGATTTTCGAGGTCAGTGACGCACGGATTTGCGGCGGAGGTTCCTGATTATACATCGTCCACCGGCTGAAAATAGATTTTGTGTTCGATGGAATATCTCTGGAAATCGCGATCATGGACTGTGATGAGCTGAAGAAACTTGGCATCCAGGTCCTCTGTCTGCGAGTCGGGACTCCTTGAAGACAAATAAGGATTAGCTCCTGATGCATCACTCACGAATGTGGTACCAGGTTACGTGCGTCATTTTGATATTTCCAAGCCTGTGGCAGATTTGAGCAGGTCTTATTCTCCGAAGTGGCCCAGGTCAACAAGGGATGACAACGGGTGGGCCCGGTCAACCAGTACGGCTTTGTACACTGGGACCCAAGAAAGAAGAGACATATATAGTGCGTTTCGAATTTGGATGAAAGTGATCGATGTGGCAGCCGAAAATAACGCGTTGGAAATCTCCTTGTACCCGCCGGAAAAGTGCGTATCCTGCCTTTTATGTGTGAACTGAGCGAAGTATTGGGATGCGGGACTCCATTGCCCGTACTAATGTACGGATGGTGGGAAAGCCCGTTCAGCCCGATACCCAGCGTCAGGCTTGGTGCTGATGAGGACCAGAACCAAAATCATTGGCAGAGAAAGCCTGAAAAACGCCATCCAGCCTGTCGGATGCTGAACGAAGACCGTCCGTTCGTTTCTGCAATACACATTGTCAATGCTCAATGATGGCTGAGACCTCGGCGCTTTGCCTCAATGGCATAGCAAAATTGACAGTTTGAGCTGAAACGATTACACGACTATGTAAGATGGAAAGGGGAAGGGAGGGGCCGGGAAAAGCCTTCTTGGAGGGGTCACCAGTACTTCCGATACCACCCTTGGAAGCAGACGGCCAGTCTGGCAACGTTCCTCGTGCCCATTTCTCGGGGCCTGTCCATCGCTCAGTGCCCGGAAGCCAACCGGCACGGTCACACAGTGGCTCGCTTGTATTCTAGTACAAAGTTCAAGCGAAGGATCCAGGCCGTCATGACCCTGTCAAATCACGGATTGAGAATACCACCAATACTACCGAGCCTGATCAGTTTACTCGGGTTCCTGAATCATCCTCCGTTTCCTGCGTTAATACCTTTCTGCCATTTGCCAAACAGCCCCCTCCAGAGCCGATTCATCATATCGGTCCAGGAGAAGCAAGGTGGCAGCTGAACAATCAGAGCGTTGGCGTGGTGTGCTATTTTACCAGCCTGCGTGAGGGCTACACAGAAGAGCTATTCCGTTAAAATCCGATGCAAGCGAGCTACTGAGGCGATCGATCTCTGCGGAGACTTTCAACAAGAGACACCTTCAGTATTTGTGGCTGCATGTCTTGCTTTCCAGGGTCATTGAAAACCCAAGGCTAAAGTAAAAAGAATCGGTAACCGGAGGAAAGTGATAATCAGAAAAACTTCGAAGCCAAGGAGGCAGTCCGGATCGACGGCCTTGGTGTCATGCACGAGGTACCGCAGGGTTGTTTGGGTGCATAACATGCACACAGCCAAGGAGGGGTTCGGCGCAGTAGCGCGGACTTTTGGTCAGCCACTATATCCAGCATGATGGTGGCTTTGCTCCGCGTTTGAATAACAGCAGGGATCAGATGGTCATGAAATCATGAAGGTTCTTACATCCAAGGTGATTGGGAGGAGGGACTGAAGATTTCGATCTGAAGCACAGGCACGGTAAGTGATCACCGGGTCAATCGCTTTTTTCCTTTTACGGGGGCCACTAAAATATGGGTATTCGTAGTGTCTTTACATCATTAACGCAAGTAGGACATGAGGACATTTTTTTTTCTCTCGATCAGAGTTCTTCTGTTTGATTTCAATCCACCGCTTTCACATCTACACCGCTCCTTTCCTGGATTGCTCAATCAATCAATGGAAAATTAGCACTCAGTGTTGGAAACACTCGACAAACGAGACTGAAAGCCCCCTAAGGTGGCCGGGTCGACGTCAAGATTTTGTGAAGTTCCAGGCATGCGACTACCCATGAAGAATAGACCAATAGCGTCATCTGCGCGGGTGGCTTAATTCCAACACATCCACAATGAGAGACACTCGACTGGGGCCTCCAATGAACGTGCACTCTTCAAACTTACCATGAACGGCATAAGGCCGGCTGCAAATAACAGCGACTGGCCACATCGGCGCAGCCTCTTCAGGGTCGACGGCCCGATTGACCACAATGGGATGTCCTACTCATGACGACGGGCCGCGGACAAAGCGATGACGAAGCATTGACTCCGCTACAGCTGGTCACCTGAGACAGGACTCTGCGCAGCGACCTCGGCGTCGGCTTTGGCTTTGACTCAATTGCTGTGGGAAAGGGTGAAGAAAATGGACCGTGCCAAATAGCTCATTAGGGTTACGCTAAACACAGAGGAGGGTTAACTTAAAGTTCTGTCCTCTAAGTTAATCGTCCCCTGCACACGGACAGGGAAGCGAGTTCATGCACGTCAAGAGGGACTGTCAGACGGCGTTGGAATTAGAGCCATCCAAGTCGTCGGTACGACTACGTAGTATGTAAGTAGGTAAGTAGGGAAGTAGTACGGACTAACTAAGTAGAGACGAAGGGACAAGATAACCTACAGTATAGCGATCCCAGAACCATGGTTCAGTCGCGGGAAGCTGGAGGCCTTCCCGTCGCGCCCTTCGGTAGTTTAGTTTAGGGGGAGCTGGACCCGCTAAGTCAACGGGGACTGGGAAGATGCAATGAACCCTCCCTCTCGATTTCGATTTTTCTCCCCCCGACCTTCTCCTCCTTCTTTGTGGTTCTGTGAGAGTCTTGGATAATGATTCGTGTTGTGTTCTCGGCTTGGCACCCCGTTCATGTCGTCTCGTATCGGTCTCAATCTGCCAAAGCCCAACTGACTTATCGTACAGAACTCACGAGTGGCCAGAATGGAAATACCATTTACTGTAACTAATGACAACTACCACAGTATACGTATACGCATACGCCTGTGCGTCTCGGTCGGATGAGGATTATGCTGGCTGCTGGCCAGTGAAGAAAGAAAAAAAAATCATTTCTTTCCCAGCATTTGTTCAGTGATCCATCCCCCTAACCCACAATCCCACTCCCAAGAAAATCAACAATCATCCGTGACCCCGACCCTCCCAAATGTAACTTGTCGGTTCCAACTCCACCACTAATCCGGCATCTCCACCCGAGAGCTGAGCCGGCCGAGCCGTGTTTTCCACCCGATGCTCCCAAGTTCTACTCCCAGAGCACCAGAGAGACCCGACGCTCCATGGGGTCTTGTGGATCTTTATGTTGTTGCATGAGCAGTGAGAAAACGTATCCTTGAACTACTTCTTCTCTGATTTCGCCGATCCGACAGCAAACGTTGTGTCTATGATACCGGGACTGAACCATGGAAAAGGCACGCGCATCGGGAGTTGTAAAAGGATACACGTGTACAAGTACCATAGTCTCACTATGATCAGTTACCACTTCTGGGTAGAAAGATCACGATAATCTTAATTCATCATCTCCTGAGCTGGGTTCAATTCGTTGCATTGCAACTAGGCTAAACTAAAAAAAAAAAAATGGGGGTTGGGTATTTTTTTTCTCTGGAGCTCGTGGGGAATTAGCATCATTGCATGGTCGTTGGGGTCGGGTCGTCTGATTGGTTAATCTATATACACCTTCCGGGATTCGGGGGGGGGGGGGGAAGGGATTGTAAAAAGAGCCGCGAAGGTTTATCGATGATTTAGGAAAAAGTCGGGGTGGAGGAGAAGTGGGGGGCTCAGATAGATGAGGTCCAGTCTAGCGTGGCCGGATCAGTGATGTGCGGATTCGATACGCAGGGATTCGAAGGGGTTGTCGAACCGAGATCTGCGGTTTTTGGCACATCTTCACAGTAGAGTTATGAGTGGTAGCGACGCTGTAGGAGGCGGGTTGGCTTTGCCCGTCAAATTGCGGGTGCGCTGGCGAGGCCTTTGACTGGCGTGTTCGATCACGAGACTGTATGCGAGGTTGGAGGACAAGCCTGTGTGGGAGTTGGACTTTCCGTCCGCAAGTTTTGGCCTCGAGTGCAGACAGCATAAGGCGAGGCGAGGGGTAGAGATGTTTCCCGTAAAATGCTCAGTATTCTTTGCTGATCGCACTCAGAGAATGTGCTAGCTTCAGAAGAACAACGCTTTCCGTAGCGGCATAATAGTTCAAGCTGCAAGCAGTTGTCAGTAATCGCCACATCTCTTTTACTTTGATACTCACCTGTCCATCAAGATCCGCAAATGTCGGCTGAAATGGTCCTCGACGCGTTTGAGCGACTCGTCAATCTTGTCAACTCGCGTGGGATCGTATTCACGACCCATTGTCCTGGACAAGTCGGGATCGGCCAAGGCAAGGTTGCGATTGAGATTGCCGTCGGCCCAGCTAGCGAACGTATTGCAGCCTATCATCAGTCGATGGTGGACCTAGGTAGTCTGTGAGCAAGCGAGAGGGGCAGCCTGGGTAAGCTCGACTGACCTTCAGTAGTTTGGCCTGGGTCAGCATGCACTCTTTGAGACAAGTATCCAAGAAATCCACATGGTCCTGCATCAGTTCATCCACCGTACGGTTGGCCTGCTTGGTACCGTTGACGGTGACTTCCGAACCATCTGCGTCGGTTCCATTCACCCGGTTCATCAGAATCTGCCAATTGGGCTCGATGACCTCCGCCGTGCAGAAGTAGAGCAGCTGTTGGATGAATAGCAGCATCTTCGAGCGCAGGGTCCACGCGCGTCGTTTCCACGTCTCCAATCGTCGGTCAGAGGATTTGTGTCGCCAGGCGTCAGCCTTGCTTTGCTCCAGCCAAGATGCGCCGAGCATAGTTTCAACGTGGCGCAATGACAAGATGTGCCGGAAGACAAGTTGATACCGTAAAACTGTCTTCCGACTGATAACGAGAGACAACGGGAAGGGTACCAGATAGTCGAGCTCGAGCGCATCGAATCCATTGATCTTCGTATCATTTTCTCCACCTTGCGTCGAAGGGGCTTGATATTTTTCGAGTGCCGCCTCCGGATCATCTTGGTTCATGCCGGAGACGCTCACGACCTGCATCAGCCATTTCGTGAGCCCGACCTTATTCATACGGACCTTAACGTCTTCTTTGAAAGGGTCCTGAGCGGCTATACTTCCGGGCTGACGTAGGACTAAGTCGAGAAGCGACTGAAGCTTGCTCTCGTTGACATCCTTGGCGGGCCTGCGCAGCTCAGAATCGCTAAGCTCGAGGAAGTAGGAGAAGAAGTCGGAGCGATCCAGGAAGAAGTAATGCTTGAGAGAACGGAAGCGGGTCGTCAACGAGTTCTTGGTCAAGAGAAGGTTCAATAACGAGGCATTCGCATATGTGTAAGCCGCATTGACATTTTCCAAAAAGCGAGGATCATCTAGCGTCTTGGGCACATCCCTGACCTCTTTACTGACATCAACGCCACCGCATTCTCGTACGACATTAAGGTACTTGCCTGCCAATAGGACTTTGTCTTTGACCGTCTCCAACTGTGGCGGCACCTCATTGTCGCGGATCGTATAACGTTTGTCCCAATACTCGTCGGTGTAGTCTTCTTCGAGCTTTTCGCGCTTGATCCATTTCTGCTCTTTTACCAGAAATTCACCATGTGGGTCTTTAATCCCTCCGTGATGCAGCCATTCGTTGAGCATAGCCATGTAAGGCCGGCTGCCGTCTCGCAGCAACCTTTCCAAAAGAGCCTTCGTGGTTGGATCACCTGAGAATGTTGCAAGTCGCTCAGTCAGAAGACGGAGGACATTGCCGCCTTTGCATATCTTCTTGCTAGACATAGCACCTGGAACGAGGTCTCCGCCTTCCCTCAACTGTTCCAGAATGTTATCGACGTCGTCAAAGTCGTCGATGGTCTCGTCGAGTTCTTGGTCCAAGAGCCCGTTTCGCCGAAGTAGGTCCTGACCGAATGAATATAATTGAGCCAAGCATTGGCTAGTCGGCATGGTCTGCAAGTGAAGAACATGCAACGTGAAGTTGGGATTTCTCAGCAGTTCACCTTCAAGCTGCGCGACCAGCACTAGAAACTCCTTTAACAATTTCCGGATCGTAGCACACATAGCATGGCTCACTTGGCCGTATTCCGCCCGACTTTGTACTTCAACAAATGACTCCAATGCGCTATAATGTGTCGCGATTTTTAGCGTCGAAAGGGTGAGATCCTTCAAGGTCGGGTCTAGACCAGCCGGTAGCTGAAAGACGGGGCCTGTCAACCTATCCTTTTCCACCGATGGGTCGTACGAGCTGTGGTAATGGATGTACTGGCCCTCAAATCCCATGAAAGTGAAAAGAAGATCTTCCAAGATTGCCTTCTCCTGCGCGTCCGGAGATAGCTCGCGAAATGGCGAAGGCTGTAGGGATGGAGGCAATGCGGATGCCAGCGGGGGAACCGAGACACGAGAGGCCAACGGCGCGGTGGAATGGGGCACTAAAGAAGCTTGCGGGTTCCAAGGAGCTGCAAGTGGTTCATAGTTAGCATATGAAGAGAAATCTTAACTTGCGAACGAGCATGTTGAGGGAACATTGACTGACCCTCGGTCGGCTGCTTCTCCCTCCTGCGAGCGTTGGGACTGCCACCATCGACATGGCTAACTCGCTTCGACCGTGAGCGCTCAAGCCCTCTGCCATGTCCAGCTGGCAATTCCTTCGTTGCATGCCTTGTTCGACCGTGAGACTTTTCCTTCGCGATGCCCGGAATCCGCTCTGCCCGCCTGTCGGTGGCCATTTGCTGTTGTTGTTCGCGGGGGATCCTGGGTTTGGGGCTGGATGAGCCAACAAAATGACTGACGGGTTCTGACTGCAATGGAGAGGCGCCGCTGCGTATGGGAGCTCTTTCTGAATCAGCGACGCGATTCGAGGCAACGCGGGGTCGTGGTGCGCTCATGTAGTTGGCGCGACGGTCACTGACGGACATGCTCCCGCAGGGTGAGAACAATCGGGAGGACCATGCAGCATAAGGGAGCTGGTTTGGTTTCGCGGGAGAAATTGTAATAGAGTGAGAGATCTTCTCCTCTTGGCGAAGCTAAGAGACACGAAAAGCGAGAACAAATTGAATTGCACACGGTCGCAATTACACGTCGAGGGGGAAGCTGGGAGTCGGGGAAGTTTGGTACGCAATCCGACAAGCTCCAAACAATCGATAGATGCCTGGTTGTGGCCTGGGGCAGAAACCACCGCCTTCTCCGCCAGGCACTCGCCGGACTTGCGTAGCCCGCAACAGCTTCGCCCCGAGCTTCCCAAGAGCAGCTGGCCAACATCTTCTCCCCCCCCCCATCCCTACACCCTACAACTTATCACGCTTTCCCATTCTATCTCTAATTTTCACCACAATCTATCTCTGTCTTCTCTTTTAACCCCGCATATCTCTTTCATATCTCTCTGCAGCCAACATGTTCATCGCCCGATCGGAATATGGTAAGCTCCGTCAGACCCTCCTCTCTGATGCGGTCATCTAACAGCTTCTCATCGCAGACCGTGGAATCAAGTACGAGCTCTGCCACCTCCCTGTCGGGTCTACTGGATCTACAAGCTCGAAGTCCTAACCTCGTCACTTTCGCAGCACCTTCTCTCCGGAGGGGCGTCTCTTCCAGGTCGAATACTCTCTTGAAGCTATCAAATTGGGCTCCACTGCGATCGGTGTACGTTCAGCCATCCCCTTCTGCGACAGACCCGACTTTCCAACGCCTGCCAACGGCACGAGCGTGTCCCTTCATGCGATTCCCCGTATTAGTCATTGCGATGGAATGGACCCGTCTGACAACAGAACCAGGTAGCGACCTCGGAAGGTGTCATTCTGGGCGTGGAGAAGCGCGTCACCTCCAGCCTCCTCGAGGCTTCCTCCGTTGAGAAGATCGTCGAAGTCGACCAGCACATTGGCTGCGCCATGTCCGGTCTGCAGGCAGATGCCCGATCCCTGATCGAGCACGCCCGCGTCGAATGCCAGAACCACGCCTTCCACTACGCCGAACCCCTCAGAGTCGAGAGCTGTACCCAGGCGATCTGCGATCTGGCGCTGCGGTTCGGAGAGACGGGAGATGACGAGGAGAGCGTGATGAGCCGGCCCTTCGGTGTCGCTCTGTTGCTCGCCGGTATCGATGAGGATGGACCTCAACTGTACGTCCCTCGTTTGCGCTGGAAACATCGGGCTGCTGAAGAGTGTGTCTGGCTTACTAATCTTTCTGTCTTCATTAGATACCACGCTGAGCCGTCGGGTACATTCTATAGATACGATGCCAAGGCGATTGGCTCCGGCAGCGAGGGTGCACAGGCGGAGCTGCAGAACGAATACCACCGCTCGTTGACGTTGGCGGAGGCAGAGACTCTGGTTCTGAAGACGTTGAAGCAGGTCATGGAGGAGAAGCTGGACGCGAAGAACGTCCAGCTCGCCAGCGTGACCAAGGAGAAGGGATTCCGCATCTACAACGACGAGGAGATGGGCCGGGCTGTTGCGCAACTCGGCGGGAACCAATGAGGGAGATGATAATGCTTGGGGATCTTGATGAGCCAATGTGTATGTCGGCAATGGTACCTAGTAGTCTTTGGAGGGATCTCTGTTGGGCCAACCCCATAGAAAAGAACAATGACTTGTCTAATGATCTATATATCACCTTGTTGCGTCGATCCGATTGATAACGAATAGGATCCTGGCGAGACAGCCATCTGGTATTGACACGACATCGTCACCTGGCACCATCATACGCAGACGCCAGGCCTATACTGTATGCTATATGCTATATGCTATATACACCGCACTCCAACCACGCCCATAGCAGCCACCACACCTTACCATCTCCCCCAAACTCACGACTCCGTAAACTCGGCAACCGCCCCCAAAACCACCTCAGCCACCCTCTCCGGCTGGCCAACCTGCGGCACATGGCCCGCACTGCACCGCTCAACCCGACTGCCCGCCGTAGCAGCCAACTGCTCCTGCAACCCCACGGGCAAAGCCTGATCCGCCTCACACACCAGATACACGCTGGGCACATCCCGCCACCCGGCATACTCGACCGTGGCATCCCAGCCCTGCGCCGCCTGGGACCTGAGCACCCCCGTCCACTTCCTCTGCTCCTCCTCCGACAGATCCCCGAACAGCAGCGTCTGGGGATTCGCACAGTACGATGCGCCGCCCTAACCACTCATACACATTAGCACATGTATCCCCAAACCAGACTCCCCCACTCCCTGAACCCAAGATCCCCCTGCCCCCTCTTCCACTTCAATGATGACACCAGGAGCAGGGAGGGAAAAGAGAGACAAACATCCACCCAAGCAAACGGCAACGGCTTATGCTCCAACCCCACAGGAAACACCGCAGCCGCCAGGAACACGATCCCGACGAAGCCGCCCTCGCCGCCGCGGGCCCCGCGATCAAGGCCCTGCATGGCCTCGCAGCCCAGGAACCCGCCGGCCGAGTGCAGGACGAGCACCACGGAGTCGCCGCGCGAGACCAGCCGTGAAATGGCGGCGCGGAGGGAGGCGATGTCGTCTTTCATGGTCGGGTTGCCGGGCGAAGCGGTGCCGGTGCTGGGGAGGGCGACCGTCTCCACGGGGTAGCCGGCGGTGGTGAGGAGGGTGGTGAGGTGGGTGTAGACGGTCGGCCCTTCCCAGAAGCCGGGGATGAGGAGAATTGTAGGGGTAGGCATATTTTTGACTCGTGGGGGTGTTGTTGCGGTGGTGGGTGAATGTATGGACAGTAGTAGACACCCACACCACGTACGTAGGCTACGATGTTTGGTTGATGGAACGGGGAGAAAGAGGGGGTCATCGGATTTTATCATCAGCAGAAATGGGCTGTGAGCTATGGAGAGGAGGCTGTTTGTGGCAGGCTGGCTGATTGATCGATTGCTTGAGCTTATACTTATGCTAAGGCTCTGTGTTGGATCATTCTATACGCTTTGGTCGTTGAGGATGGAGACGTGCGGTCCTAACTGTGAACCAGTGGAATGGGATAGTCTGGCTTTTCTCCAAGGCACTTCTTGATTAATGGACTAGCTAGTAGCAAATCGCCAATGGGATAGGCTTGTCTCAATCCCTCTGGTTAAAGAGTTCAGTGTAAGCTGACACAGTCCCCATTCTCGCGTAAGCACTAGCACCAACAAGAACTCGTAGAACCCAGCTCGCTGGAGGTCGGGGTAAAGCTTAGTATGGAGAATGCCAATCCAGGCACTCCCAGTGGCATTGGATATCACCGATATCACCACTGCTACGAAAGAGCGACGTGGAAGCTGATATCGCGTCTACGAGAAATGGCTCGCGGACTTGTAGGGCTCTCCGTTCATGCTTTACGTGTGCCATCCAGGCTCTCCTATTCCATACGACTTCATCACTCACACAAGCATCAGCAAGGGTTTTCTCGCACTTATAGGGTTGGGTGGACTATACAGCGTGCTCTCACACTAACTCCACAGCCCCTCTTGCCTTCCTTTCTCGCCACCTCTTTATGGCTGGACCTAATCAATCGGTCCCGGAACCAGCTGGCAAGATCTGATTCCTCGGGTGGATTGCCGGACGCACAGCGTGCATACGATGTAGATATATGCATGCACATATAACCTGATTTGCCGCTGATCGCTGGCAACCGGGATCTAGAAACGATCGCGGTGGTTTCTGCGCCACCGATTACCTGGGCTAGATCGTGAACTGGGCTGGCAGGGCGAGGCCTCTTTCGAATCTAGACTGTCTGGGTTCGGTGGCTAGGTCTTCGAATCGTTGTTCTAAGCTTATGAGGCTGGTGCGCTCCGGATATATATATATCTGCTGAATGATGCTGTCGCTGTTGTCATGTAAGAGGACAAGTACAACTCCGAACCTGGAGAGATTGCTGCAGGTGTGGGATTGTTGTGGCCCGAGATTCTGTGTCATGCATTTAATCCCTGGAGCTTGGGTCATCATCAGTATGACTTGACAACGATGAGAGTTAAGAATTGACCTATTGATACGGCCACACCCTTTGTTTGACTCCGATCAGCGATCAGGAGATATCATTGTTGGGGATCTCGCATGCACGGTCAGAACAAGGATGTTCTTTGTTTGTCTGCAAGGAAGGATGTGAGCTGTAGACAAGGAATAGCAAGGTCATCGCTTAGGTGTTCTTCGGTCACAATGAGCGACTTTTGAGGAAGTCTTCAACTGCTACTTGGATCGAATCGGAGTCAGACATGGGGTAGAGTAATCGAGAGCTCATGCCAGGTGCGTGACTACCAAGCACCTTTAAGCTCAGTTATGTTATCTGCGCCGTGAATCAATCACAACAATCAATTCTGTCCGAGTCGCGGAAGTTGGCATAGCAAACCCTGATCGCAGAGTACTCTCCTGCCTGATCGGATCTACCAAGCAGTAGGGCCAGACCTGGCTGAGACAATAAAACCGAGCTGTTGTGCGCAGGGACGGAGACTGGATCGTGCAGAGATGCCTATACGGAGACTTGGCGCAGAACAACAGTTGGCAGTACCTTAGCTTCGGCTCCGTTCTTGTTGGCTCGGCATTAGTGCAGAAAAGCCACAGGCTGGGATGGGGTGAGTGGATTGGCGCCTCCACTGGACTGTCCATTGTTTTTCTTCATGGCTCATGCGCCTAAAAGAGATTGTAGTTTAACGTCGAGTCTGCAGACACCCGGAGGGGTCAAAGACGACACGGCAAATTTAGAGCGGCATGCCATTTCCGTCAATGCCTGCATCCTCTATACTCTTTTTGAGCGGTAAAATTGGGCTCATCTCATGTCATGTCCATTATTGTAACTTAATCTTCCAGGTCCAGTGTCGAGACCATTGTTTTGAGTCAGACAGTACCCTTTTCTTACTTCCCCGTTGCCCGGCCGAGGCTACAATTCGAGGATGCCTCTATCCCACTCCACTATCAGTGATGTCTACCCAAGCACCGTCGTAAGCCTGGGTGATCTATTTCTGTTGCCCAGTCGCTTCGGTCTCGACCAGTTTCTGACCCGCTGTGGATCGGCGAAAGTAAACAATATGACAACGCCAACAAGACCACGGCCGTACTGGGTTTGTCTATGTGGATAACAATCTGAGTCTGGAGGTTCCCAGCAAGTTTGATTGGTAGAGCATCAATATCGGTGTGCGATGAAAACACAGAATAGAGGCGTCCAGATTGACTACCAAGGTCAGGCCACTCTGCGACCTGTTTTGAGTACTCAATGGTTATAGTTCAAAGGTATTGTTGATCATGGCCAGTCTCATGCACATCGAAAGCAGATGGACCCATTCGAGTCAGCCAATTGGTAAGGTTCCCCGCTCACGGCTGCAAAGAAAACAACCTGAGGCCCGACCGATTGAAGTGAATCATTTCTGCTGCATCGGAAAACAGACGGCAATGTTGCACAGAACAGTCTCTGGGGAGGCGGCTGAATCGATCTGGGATGTCATACATACAACAGTTCCTCCGCCCCTGTCGTAGGCACGTGGTCATTGCAAGGCTACCACTGTGTAACGGCTAGACTGGTGGTTGATGGTCACTGAGCTTCAGTAACCGCGTCCTGTGAGGAAGCACTGCCGTATCAGAGTGATGCTCGTCTGGCTGGAACTCTTGGGTTGAAACTAGGAGTGTCGAGACCCTTTCTCGGATCGACCTAGTTCGCTGTAGACCACAGGAGAAACTCTGGACCTGGGATCTGTCGACCAGTAGGTAACCAGCAGTGACTACTGTACTGGACTCATTGACTAGCCGTCTCTGGTCGGAAGTGGGTGGGTTTACACCCAACCACAAAGGGCTTGATGCATGATGTACTGATGGGCGGACAGCTGGACGGAAGCAATGCGCTGCACTGCTTACGCCTCGAGATTTGCGATTTGCGATTTGCGTGAAGATGGAGAGGACCAGACTCGAGGGCGAGGCGGCTGGGTGGAGGATGAGTTGCAGGGTGAGAGACCAGGAACGAACAGGACAGAGAAATTTCAATACAGCTGAGGGAGTGAGTGACTGAGGGAGTGAGTGGTCATCAGAAGCACACGCGGTTACCGCACGGGGAAGGCGAGCAATCACCGTCACTCAGTAACGACTCTTAACGAGACGATTACACGTGGATCCTGCCGAAAAATCGCAGGGCGAGGGGTGCGGATCACTCAGATTTACCATACCAATACGCAAGGGTAATCTTCTCCACCAAACGTCACTCACTCACCTAGTACGTACGGAGTAGTTTGTAACTGTGTATGTACTCGAGTACAGTATTTCTATTTTCTTTTCTCATTATTTTGTCTTTTCTTTCCCATGAAAATTGTTCAGTCTATTTTCGGTTCCCCCTTTCTCCTTCACAGCAGATACTTACCAGAGGATATATAAGAGTCCTTCGATTCTCTCCACTACTGGTAATTATTCCATTGTTGCAGTCTGTTAGATAGAGCACTTTCAAGGTTCCATACTCATAATTCCGAAAACTGCCTTATCGACTCGATCGATTATCAACCCTGCCCCGCCATCTGATTTAAACTGCGGCCCGCCAAAAGTCAGCCGCTGTCGTCACCCACGGTTGAATCTAATCATCCTTCCATCTCATTCATCCATACTTCGTACTGCATCCCGAGTCACAACAGTCAGTCACCCTTATCTGCCTTCGGTCTCTTCAGGTCATTTTCTTCACCATCACCATCACCACACCGCCGTATTACACATGTCTCGCTACGGCGACTACCGTCGCTCCACGGGGGCCCTTGACGATGACCGCTACCCGCATGAGCGGCGGGAGCGTCACCACCGTCACCGTTCGCGCGCCCCCTCGGTGCTTGATCGCCCCCGTCGATTTGACGAAAATGAACGTTTCGAATACCGCCTACAAGAACAAGACCGCTACGGCCCCCCTGCTCGTCGCCCCGACATTGTGTACCAGGACGATCATCTGATCCATTCATCTGGTCCTTTGGTTGCTTACAATCGCCGTCGTGCGGAGAGCCCTCTGCCTCGACCCCGACTTCTCCGGCGACAATCCTCCCTAGACACCTTCGATCGCATCCCTGCGCGCAAGTTAGACGAGTACTATTACAGTGACCGCCCTCCCAGATTATCTCCAAGCCCGCCACCCCGACGGGGATCTTACCATCGAACCCGCGAACCAGACTACTACGAGGGAATCAGCATTGCGGAAGGAGACTATGGAGAGGAAGAGTACCGGGGCTTTCGCGAACGGAGCGTAGGACGTCCCCGTCGCTCAGCAAGTCGTTTTCGTGAGAGACTGGTGGAGGAAATTGATGTGGAAAAACCGTATCCTCGGAAAGGCAAGACTCGCATGCCCCGCAAGATGGTTCATACCACTGCAATCCGCGAGCTTGGCTACCCGTATGAGGAAGAGGTGTGTATACAGTTCTTTCACACTTCGGACCAATAAAAAGGTCTAGAGTCTATTTTACCGATCGATAAGCTGACATCTTTGGTCCCAGGGTAAAATGGTTGTCATTCAGCTGGCTCTGTCCAAAGAACAAATTGATGAGGTCATTGGGAGAAGTCGCGAGATCAAGCGCCTGACCGAGAGTAAGTCACCCTTTTCGCCTCGAGTCCGCAGGCAGCAGGCACTAACTGCATGATTTTAAAGCACGCGTTATCCACACCAGCTCGCCGTCCCCAGTTCGCGCCCGCCGTCGAGACAGAACTGTGGAGCGAGTTCCGATGGAGGCCTATACCCCTAGAACCAGCCATGACACTCTTATCATCGAGGCGTCTCCGTCGCGGCATCGATCTCATTCGCGCCACCACCACTACCATCACCCCCATGGTGAGCTTTTGGAAAAGAAAGTGACCAGGACTGTATCACGCACCCGAGACATTTCGGTGCATGGACGACCCCGTCGTCGATCGTCACCAGTACGCAGATATGAGCGTTACGAGGAGCAACCTAGCAAGACTCACGCTGGGTCCCTGGCAGTTGTGGTGCGGCCCCGCGATAGTGACGAAGATCTGCGGGAATATGCGCTCGAGCGGCGTGGCAGCGGAGAATATGTCCGAGACACGGAGATCATTGGGGATGGGGTTGCGGAGGAGATTCATGAAGTGAAGAGGGAGCGTAGAGGTACGAAACATGTTGTTCTATCACCCATTTGGATGCTAATGCCTTTCTAGGTCCAAGTTCCCGCATGATGCGTGCGATGATGGCGACATTGACGTAGTCTGGTTGAGTTGTGGTGATATACCAATTCTTGCTTTTATGACGCTGACTTACGACTTATCGATTACCCTTTCGGTGTTTCTTATTATAACTGTGATCTTCTTTTCCTATTTTGTTCTTCTTTTTGCTTTCGTATCATGTACTATAACAGCTTGACTGCGTTTCTCTGTGTACTATTTGACTAGCCCAGTTTGACGATCATTTGGCGAAGATACTGATGACTATGCGAGCAACGATGACTATAACCAAACAAACAAATACTTATGACTCATGACTCATGAACTTCCAATAAGTGAATTTGAGTAGTCGGAAATTTGATTCTGCATGATCTGCTCCAGCCACCTAAGTGTGCTACTGCAAGCAATTTCTCCCACCGCCTGCTGCCAACTCATCGCCCTTGGATTGATTGTTCTTCCAACCAAGCAATTGCCAGGCGGGAACTTGAACTATTCCAGAAGCGTAATTGCCGGCACGAAACCAACCGTGGCGGGGCCAGGCGGTGTCAGACCGACGGAAAGTGGCCTCGACGCTTGCGATCATCTCAAAACACTCTGCCTCTGCAAGCCACAGATAGGCTATTTTACCTTTTAACAAAAACCTTTGCATCGCGTCTACTGAATATCTACCAGCAGGACTGTACCGACTTTCATCATGGACAAGTTCTCAGCGTTCGGAAAGAACCTCAGGTGAGATACATGATCGTCCTTCTCCTGAGTGTGGCTTGTGCCAGGAGATGGTAGTGGATTCCGTATCCAGCCTCTTCCCCAGCGGCTGCAGCACGAGCTTGAGCTGCCATTATCGATCGGACATTTACGCTAACATTTCGTTTCAATGGGACATCCAGCGCGAGCTTCTCTCCCTTTGCCCAGCGCACTCAGCAGATGATCCGCGAGCAACTCGGCCAGGCAGAAGACCGGACTCAGCTTCCCGATGAGTACATCGAATTGGAGAAGCGCGTGGATGCGCTGAAGATTGTCCACCAGAAGCTCCTCCAGGTCACGTAAGGGCATCCATATATTCCTCGGTCTTAAGATCTTACGTGCTCACGTACCGACCATCCAGCTCTCAATACTCCAACGAAGCCTACGACTACCCTCCCAACATCCGTGAATCCTTCAACGACCTCGGTCGCACCATCAACGAGAAGGTCTCGCTTCTTTCCCAAGCCTCGTCGCCTGCCGAGGCCCAGGCAGCCCTGGTCGCCCCTCCCTCGGCTAAGCCCCAGCCCAAGACCTTCAACCACGCCATCGCTCGCGCCTCGCTGGCCGGATCCCAGACCCTGGCGCAATCCTCTCACAGCGAGGACCCCCTGGCCACTGCCCTGGAGAAGTACGCGCTCGCCGAGGAAAAGGTGGGCGAGGCCCGTCTGGCCCAGGATGCTCAGATCCAGTCGCGCTTCCTGGCTGGGTGGAACACCACGCTGAACACGAACCTGATGTTCGCGGCTAAGGCGCGCAAGAACGTCGAGAACGCGCGTCTCATGCTGGACTCGATCAAGGCGGCCAAGAAGGCTCAGGTCAAGGGAGACTGGGACAGTCTGAGCGAGGAGGCTCGCGCCGAGATTGAGCAGGCGGAGGACGAGTTCGTCGGACAGACCGAGGAAGCTGTGAGCGTGATGAAGAATGTATGTGCATATGGTAGTGACTTGACTTGGCGGATGATGGCTGACTATGTACCAGGTTCTCGACACCCCCGAGCCCCTCCGCAACCTGGCCGATTTGATCGCAGCGCAGCTCGAGTTCCACAAGCGGGCCTATGAGATACTCAGCGAGTTGGCTCCTGTCGTGGACGGCTTGCAGGTTGAGCAAGAGGTGAGTGCACGAGTTCCGGATGTTATATTCTTGGTGCTTGACTAACGTGCATTTTGACACAGGCTAGCTACCGTAAGAGCCGTGAGGGAGCTTGAAATGCCGCACAAATTGTAAATTTCCTTGTCTCATCGTTTGCTTCTGTTGGAATCGCAGCCCCTGTTAATTCAGCCCCTGTTTGCTTTTATGACAGTGTTCTATATCCCTCGATAGGTGGTTACATCGACCAGATTGACTACACCTCTTGTATTGTGACTGTAGTTTGGACTGTAGTATATGTCGTTTTCGGCCAACGATTTCTGCCCCAGGCCCCAACGGCGGGCCGGTAGGGCGGTGAGCGGTGAGCGGTGAGCTCAGGCGGTGTAGGCCGGCACTTCACCCAGCTGCCAGCTGCCAGCCAGCAAGCAGCAAGCATCACTCTTCGGAGAAGCTCCGCCGATAACTCACCTCTCTGTCGATAACCATCATCATCATCCTGTCAGTCTGTCGGTCTCTGCCTGCCACGACAACCATTCCTCGCCATTCTTCGCCCCCCAAATCTCTCAATCGCTCGCATCTCCATCACCGATTTGGCCTTCCAAATCCCCCTCACCTCCCAAGCGTACAGAAGATCCCCGACCTCGCAACAACGCTCCATGCCCCTCGAACAATCAAAGTAACCACCAGCACTCCACACCTACAGCGCAATACACAATCCCAGGCCAACCACTCGCCAGCAGCCCTCACCCACAATCAATCTATCTCCAAAAACCACCCCGAGACAAAAGGAGAAAAGCACGCAGTTAGGCTGGCCCTACGCTGTACGGAACAATAATTGTACAGTACTTCCTCTCACCACAAAGCGTATCGATCAATCGGGACCTGGTGCTTACACCCTCGCCACAGACCATCTCCTCGACCTCCGCAAGACGACTCATATCCGAAGCGATTATAGTCAAGATGGCGAACGGGTAAGTTACCCCCGACCCTCGCAAATCATCCCCCGGACGGCCACCAAGAGTGCGCTTGGAATTACCAAGCAGCAAGCAGGCTTGGTTGCCCTTCCCTCACATCCAGCAGAACCGGAATCCCAAACCGCCCACTAACCCATGCTGCAAAAAACAACCAGATGGAGCATCATCATCGGCCTCATCGTCGTCGTCATCGCCTCCGTCTTGGCGTGGATCTTCAGCCCCAAGGGCGAGAATCAGACGTATGTTCATCGCACCATCCCCTCGCCCATGACTCCCCTGAAGAGCGAATGCAACATGTCGGCTGGGGGCGACACCAACACAAAAAAAAAAAAAAAAAAAACTAATACTTGAGACAGTGTGTTCAGAAGTACCCTGATCTTATCCTTCGTATGCTGTTATCTGATGTGGGGTATGTCTTTTCACCCATGCCCTCATGAGCCAGGCCAGGCCCCCAAAACTGAATACTGACCGGTGACTTTTCTGTTATGTGTAGCGATCACGTTCCTCGCGCAGTGGCATCCGCTCATCACGCCTAAGAGGTCGGATATTCGGCCTGATCGGGTGCCTGAGTAAATCCCTCTTTGACTTGCGCTCTTGTTTCTGTGTTGAAGGGGTGTGGGTTCAGGATGTGAGGCCTTTGTATGATGTGTGTCGAGGTGGATCGGCAGGGTGGGTGCCTAGAAGTGTTGGTGATATGCTACGTACGGCCCCGTCTTGGCTGGGTTGGCGGGGAGGGTTGGATGGGATTATACCCCCGTGAATTTTGCAAGGGATTTTCTCATGTTTCTCGAACGTTTTGTATAGTTGATTTTGTTTGTTGGCACGGGTGAAGGTTGTTTCGAGTTATGCGGATTCGCGAATTGCATCATGATTGTATCCTACATTTTTCTTCTTTTGGGAGAGGGGGAGTTATATGTATTTGCGTATACGGAGGTGGAGGTAGAGGAGCTAAAAGATAAGCATGGATCTGTGTTGATTCTTCCCGTTAAGCTTAGTTTAACTAACTCCGACCAACCCCAAGATCACCCTCTGGACTGACCACCGCGCCACCAACCCCGTCACCGCCAACGCCACGGCCCGCAGATACCCGCATCCCAGCAGGATATACAGTGCCTCGATGTTACTCAGTAGCACAAGATGCGAATCCGCCGCGCCCAGGGACAGCAGCGAGCCCATTAACTCGACGAACTCGGCGAGATAGCCGGTGGGAACAGACTCTGGCAGTGCGCGCATGACACTGTCCAGGAGGGAGGAGGAAAGTGACGATGATGATGACGATGATGTGGAGGAGGTTTGTGTGGCTGTTGTTATGGCGGCGGTGATTGCTGCGACAGGCGTGAGGATGCTGTCGAGGGCTGTGGGTGAGCCAGTACTGGCACTACTGCCGATTTGATCGATGGCAGAGTGCGAAGCGGTGGTAGTGGTGGTGGTGAAAGCGTTGCCGCTGCCGTCCGGGCCCCAGATGACGAGGAGGATGGGAAATAGCTTCGCGCAGCTGCTGACGAGAAGCGCGGTGCTGATGGCGGTGGGGCTTGCAGGGGAGGGTGGGGGCAACGGCTTGATATTCATTCCCATGGGGATGTTCATGGCCATGTTTTGGGCGGGGGCGGTGGAGGAGCGGCGGAGCGGCGGCGGAGGGGGGGAGTGGGCGGTTGGGGTTTGGGTTTGGGATTCGCTGCCTGTCGTGATGGCGCCAGTGGATGCTGTTGTTGCCGCATCTTGGAGAGACGAAGATGAGCCCTGCGGGATGAGCTTAGGTGGGCTGAGGATCGTTGCAGGGGTGAGTGTGGCAGTCGGTGAGAGATGGGAGGCTGGGAAGGACGGTAGCACCGGGGTGGAAGGATGAGAGGCCTCTGTCTCGGTGTTGTTTGTTGTATTGCTCTTCGCGACGTGACCCCGGGGCGTTGGGGCGAGGATCGAGGCAAGGAGACGGATGGTGAGATGATGAGCAAGCGTCGCAAGCGCGTTCAGACTGAGGAAGAAGAGGTATTGGACGATGACGGGGGCGCGCCAAAGGAAGGTATCGACAATGGAGGGCGATTTCTCAATGCGAGCCCAGGTGAGGTAGACATCGAACAGGAGTAGGAGGATCCCGAGACGGATGATGGAGCGCTGAGGACGTCAGTTATTGAGTGATGAAAGTGTCGACAGTGGGTGGTCTTACATCGAATTGGTTGTCATAGCCTCCCAATCGATTGAAGAGCAGATGGCGATATACCTGGTACATTTAGCTTTGGGTTCAATGTGCAGAGCAAGAGCCGCACCTGTGGTTTGATCAGGACAAGATCAATGAAGAGTACGACAAAGTCATATTCGACATATTTGTCGGCGAAGCGCTGGCAGCGCGGACATTGAGTCAAGCGTACTCCTTTACCCAATGATCGGTCATCAGCACGGCTGTAGGTGCTGTACAGATGGGAGACTGGATATGAGCACTCGATGCAGATGGGCATCGTGTCACTTGTAACTGATCATAAAATCATTGTTGATATCAATGCAACATGCTATGAGGAATGATGGAAGAGAGGAAAAGGAAAGGAGAAAGAGTCGACTCCAATCTCGGCGCGGAGATCAAAGGCGGTGAAGACCTTCTCCGCAGCGGCTGTCCCTGGCCTGTTTACTCCGCATCTCCACTCCAAGCGACACAACAGCTAGTAGTCACTCTATTGCCTCCTAGTTGCTGTATAACCATTCCCTTCTAATGTTAACCGTTGACAATCTACTCAGGTCATCGGAAGCTAAAGCTTACTTCCCACATCCGGGCTCTTGACATACGCCAGGATATCATTCCGACCACTCGCCAACCGTTCTGGGGTTGTCTTGAACAGCCGTGGAACTCCACTTTCCTCATAAGCTGCCCCATCCACAACCATCCGTGCGATGCCCCGCGCAGACAAGAAAATCTGCGGCATGCCATGACCACTATAACCAGCGATTACGAGCTGACCGGGTTTACCTGGCACATGTCCAACATGCGGTAGAGCATCACTGCTATAACCCATCACTACTCGAACATTAGCCGGACGGCCCCAGGACGCAACAAGCCGATCAACAAGAGCTTACCTCCTGACCACACACGGTCCGTATATGCCCCCGTACTCTCCCAGCCGTGGAAACTGCGCTGCATATAGTTGTCAAAGTACCGCGTCGCACCGTCCACCACCCGGCCATCGTCAGTGTTGTGGTACCAACTGGGGATGTCCTGTTTGTAGAAGGTGGACTTCGCACCGCCCACGATGATACTACCGTCGGGACGAGGGATCAAGTAGTCGTAGTCCCAGGCGTTGAAGCGCAGAGTATACGAGCGGTCCATGGCCACAGCAGGCGGGTTCGGAACCACGATCCGACTGCAGAATCCCCGCACGGGGACGATCTTGTCCCTGTACTGCGGTGCGAGAGCAGCGGTGTATGCATTGGTGGCGAAGATGACTGTCTTGGTGCGAATCGAGCCACGGTCAGTGGTGAGGATCCATCGTCCCTCAGCATCCGGGTCATCGGAGATCTGCCGCACCGGGGTGTTTGTCTGCAGATTCACCCCGGCGGCAATGGCGAGCTTCAGAAGGTGCATGATAAGCTTGTACGGCCAGAGGCGCCCGGTGCGTTGGCTGAAGCACCCCTGAGCTCCTTTAACGCCCGATACCTGCCAAGGTCGGCGGATTCTAAGCATGTGCATACATACGGAACATAGGATTGCGATAAACTCACAGCTTCAGCAGCCTCCAGCCCGGTGAATTTCACATCTTCGACAGTCTTCACCCCCTTCGCGACGAGAGAATCATAGCTCGCTTTGACCTTTGCAAGCTGGGCTGGGTCAAAGTGCACATCGCAGACACGGTTAACCTCCATATCGCAATCGATCTTCTCCTTCTCTACCAAAGCTTGCACTGCAGAGACATGTTCCATCTCGAATGCGGCTACTTCGGCCGCCGCCTCGACTCCGTACTCATTGGCCAGGTTGCCGACTCGGCTGTAGACATCGGGCTTGAGATGGCCACCTGTGCAAACCGCGGGGCAGATGGACGCCCCACAAATTAGCGAATGCTCATGATGCAAAACTACTTCATGGGCGAAGGTTCGTACCATTGCGTCCGGTAGCCCCCGAGCAAGCCTGCCGTGCTTCAAGAATGACGATGGACGGCTGCCTCTTTCCGCCGGCAGTCGCACGCTCCAAGCAATGATAAGCAGTAGATGCGCCGGCGTAGCCAGCTCCGATGACGGCAATGTCGCAGGTTTCGGGTAGAGCGTCGGTGGAACGATGATTGTCCAATGGATCGGGCTCCGACCGCCAGAACGAGGACATGCTATTTCCAGCTGGGAATGGGCTGGTCATGGTGAGAGGATTGGTTGGGGATACCTGCAATATGATAGAACTAATGGAAGTGGACAATGAGTGGAGCGCATGCTCAATTCATAATTATACTCGAGGACCATTATTGTACCATATCTAGTAGCGCATACTTAGTGCCCTTGAGAGAAGATAAGGCGCCTGATAGCTATGTGCGCAACTTATAGTATTGGACAAAATCGCCGACAGGTTGCAGCGGGGAAGAATCAAACTAGACATTGCCCCCCTTGCCGGTGAGGGGAAGACGGGAGGGAGTATTACCAGATTGCTCCATGTATACAAGGGTGGGAACTGCTTATCTTGAATCGGGCCATCTGTTATCAATGATATTCGGTTCGGCAGTCTATAGTTCCCACTGCAGCACGGCGCGTTCGACGATTCTTCCCAGAGATTCACCAAGTCCCAACAATAGCGATAGTTTAAAGTAAAGTGGAGGGACCCGGAAGGATTGAAATTCGACAAGCTAGAATAGAAGAAGAGATATTTACCTTGTAGCGCAGAAAGTCGGCACATTGGGGCATTAAGCATTCCCCAAGAACGAACCCTCTTGAGCCCTAAGCAGCAGTAGAAACCCGCAACCTGAATTTAATTTATCCATCATTTTGACCAGGCCGGGTCGACTACAGTAGACAAAGCATGGGGAGCACTGGCAGAATCACACCAATTACCGCCCCCCTCACCGCCCAGCACGGCAGAACCTAACGAACCTCGCAGCAGGAAAACCAGCGCTCCCCACATCCCAGTCCCGAAAAAACGATCCGGAAAACTGTTCAATCTAGGCGGTAGGCAACAGATCCCAGCAGAAACCCAGCAAGCCGCCTACTTCACCGCTCCATCCGGCAGAAACTAACGAACCTCGCCACCGTCCACAGGATTTTGGAGAGGAACAGCTTCCCAAAAACAATCCGGGAAACTGTTCAATTTAGGCGGGGGCAGAAAACAAGGTACCCGCGGGCGGGCGGTGGTGGCGTGGGGTGGCAGTACCGCTGCCCAGAAAGTTACCGCCCGCTTTACCGCTTCACCGCTTCACCCGGCAGAAACCGTGCCAGAATCCCCAGGGCTTTTGAAGATGGAACAGCCCAGCAAGACGAAATCTGGGAAGCTGTTCAATGGCAGAAAAGAGACCTACTACCGCCTACCTGACCGCCGTAACCCGGCAGAAGCTAACGAATCTCGCAGCGACAGATTCCCAAAATCTCCAGAATCCAGAAAACCAGTCTCCAAAAAACGACCGGGCAGAGTGGTTAATTTGGGCGGTGGCAGAATTGTCCTGCTAAAGCGGCAACCGCCTGCCGGGCACCAAGCGGCGTTGGGGGTCCGCCGCACGCTTCACCGCCTATGCACACCTGCTGTGGCAGAATTTATCCGTTGGAGGGGCTATATCCATACTGTCGCTTTGCGGGGCATGCATACTGGACATGTTACTATGCAGAATCTACTGGAGGGTCCGCTACTGTTTAGGAATTTCCGGCGCTCAGAACCGTGGACTATGAGGACGCTAGTGGTACTCTAGCAGATCTATTTCTTGATCCTTTAATATACTTTTTTACTGATTGGTAGTAGTGGCGTGCAATGCAAGATTCGTAGTTGCATCTATGGATCCTCGGATCCGAGGCCTCAGTGGCTTTGTTCGGTGTAACATTCAAGGTCAAAAAAAATCTACAGCCGTCGATCTGCATCCTCAAACTGCAGGTTCCTTCCTCTTCTTTCTCAGAAACTCCTCCTGCTCTTTCTGACTCTTTTTCAGATCAAGGAAGGAAGCCAGCCCCGCGAAGCTGGCCAAACTCAACGCAAACAGGAAATAGAATGGCGTGGAGTTATTCCCACTCGGCGAGGCATCGATGATGGCGCTCGACACCAGCGGTCCGATAAAGGAGGAGGTCTTGCCGATGATGCTGAACAGACTAAAGAAGAGGAACTCGTGGCCCCGCGGGGTGACTTCGGAGATCATGATCATGGAGTAACTGTACCACGGGCAGACAAGGAATCCGTAATAGACTTGATATACCTAATCCCGGAGACCTTGGTCAGAGAGTGTATGGGTGGGACCTCGACAAGGCGGAGAATGTACTTACCCAGATTTCCCAGAGATGATGGAATCCGAATTTCTGCGTCCAGATGCCAATCATGCCCCAGCCGTCGAGGAGAATAATGGCGATGGCAACAATGTTGAACATGGTTTTGGTGGTCAGGTCGAAGCGTCGCTGGACATACCAAAATGTGTAAATGCCGACGGCCTGGATATGTTGTTAATATTCCAGGTGGCCCAAGCATGTATGCATGATATGAGGGAGTACGAACCTGGGCGGCGATACCAGCCAGCAAGACATATGTCAGTTCAAGCGAGTTGTACGACACAATGTTGTTTTGCAGAGTGGAGATAACGGTCACGGTGGTGTTCAGTGAATCGCCGAGGAGGAAGTAACCTAGGAGTGCACTGCAGTTAGCCAGGCACGTTCATTCCGAAGGTGCAGGAAAACATACCAACGAGATAGATCAGGCTCTGCTTCAACGTCCAGATATCCTTCAGCGCACGGACAAGCTGCTTCAATCCAGCAATAATGATATTGTTTCCCTCCGGATCCTGACCCGGCCGGCGCTTCTCCAGCACGAACCATGGTATCGACACCAGCAGCCAAACGCCACTGGCGAAGGCAATCAGAACGCTCAAGCCCCAGTTGTTGTTCGCTTCGCTCGCATTGACGTGCAAGGCGAACATGATGCCCACAATGATGGCGAGGATGACCAGCTCACTGACCGACTGCACGTAGAAGGCCACATTGGACAGCTGGGTGCGCTTCATCGAGTCCGCATGATCATACTCCTCCCTCGAGATGCGGCCTGCGGAATATTCATCCGCCGCATCGCGCATCTCGACCGTGTTCCTGGCGAGGCCCGGGAACGCCGCCGTCCAGAAGGTGAGTGTCGTCTGGTACGCGATCAGCCCGACGATGTACAATCCCACGCCGACGCTCCATTTTTCCGCCTCGTGGACCGCCAGCCACGCAAAGCCGATCGCCCAGGCGATGATCGACAGCACGATCAGGATGTTCGGCCGCCAGTTCCCAAAGTCGGCGAAACTGCCGATGGCCAAGAACACGACCACCTGGATCGCAAACGAGATGCCGTTGCAGAGAAGGACGATACTATTGACCGACCGCTGGCGGCCGGCGAAATTCAACGTTCCCCGATCGCCTGCGGCTTGCGATAAGAGATTCTGGAACGCCGTTGGGGCAAAGTCTGCAATTGTGGATTGCTGTTAGCCTGACGACTCGAGAGGGATCTTTTTTCTTGCCGATGATACCGATCCTCATGCAGATGCCGTTTGCAGCAACAATTGGGGAAGAGAGTCTCACTGAACAAGGATAACCCATTGTTACCGATATAGTAACTAAAAGATGGTCGGAAGTATTTGTTTAGCAATTATTCCGCCCGGAGATCATACTCCACGCACGCATAATAGGCCCAAATCTCCCATCTTGTCGTGCGATATTGAGCGTCGAAGGAATCGGGTGCTCGCTGCTGCTCTTGTTCGCCGCCGCTGTCCGTAGGACTGTCTTGTAGCTCGTGAACACTGTCAACACTGATTGGCTTCAGCCCATGTTTCAAAGAGGAATCTTCAACGGGAACACCTGTTGAAGCCATTTCCATTCTTTTTTTTCCCCTTCCCTTCTGTTGTTTTCGGTTTTCAGAGTCCAAGACGTTGAGATTTGGGTTTTCAATGCGCTAGAGGATAGTGCGCACTGCAGAACATTTATACGGGCGATTGACTGGCTGGAGGGGCTGGAACCCCGCGTCTAAGATCGTCAAGCGTGATAAGAGCAGATAAGGTGATTGGTACGGTTGATGGTAACGAGTAAGTCAACAAGAGACACGGGGGATTTTAAGTGGGTTCTTGGTGTCGTGCGTGGGTTTTTTTTCCCTTTCGTGGCCAACGAACAGAATAAGCTGGGAGGCAATTTGACCGCAGGCGTGCTGAAGTAGCAGACCAATTGAGCGTAATAAGCATTGGAAAAAAGGTCTGCGCTGTTCGAGGGCACTAATGATATTTCGTCGGTTCAGTTGTCCTTCGCCATCGCAGAATTTGTCAAGGAGCAGGGATGGATGCAGTAGAAAGCCGGGGGCGATGGCGAGTTGTCGCAATTGCGTTGCGAGTGGTTACATTGTGGTGGACGCTCATGCACAAACAATTCCGTTTTCAGGCAGCCACTCCCCCGGGTCTTCACAGCTGCATACATCTAGTATCACCTGGTCGATTCTTGACGATCAATGCTGTCAAATCATATTGTTCGAGTCTAGACCGGCTATTATCTAGTACACTATATAACTGCATCTATGTGCCTGAGTTCTCAATACGAGGTCTGTACAGTACGCCACCCAAGTAGCCCCAAAGAAAAAGAAAATTGACTGCCTCTTCTTGCCCCATGCACTCATCACAGCTTGGCTTGTCCACTTTCTATAGTGGCCCAGCTCTTCTCATCGAGCTTCTTGTACTGTGTGCCATCCAGCCAGTACAGCTTGTCACCGTCCCAGTCCGTCCGTGGGTCCCATCCCTTCTTGGTCAGAGCTCCTTTGGCTTGCTTGAACGTAACTCCGGTTTCCACCCTGGCGGTAGGTCAGCAAAATACTCCTTACTCTCGATAGATTTGGAATGGTAGCGGGATGCCTACTTCTGTGTGAGTCGAATTAGCCGAGGAAAAGCATAAGACGGCACTCCCCTCTTCTTCAACTCGGGATAGAGGTTGGCCATGACTTCGGTCTCGGTGGCGGGTGAAGCATCCTCGAGGGTGATACCTGCAGCACCAGCCTGGCCGTCATACCTAGTAAGAGCCACTCGTCAGCATGGAAGCACATTCAAATTGCAGTCATGGCCTGCGCCCAGGAGTTTCAATGACATACGCGCTCAACTTCACACCGTATACCACGGCATCGTGAATGGCCGGAAGCCGGCAGATGTGATCTCGAATCTCGCCCGCACTCACGTTCTCGCCCTTCCAACGAAACGTGTCACCCACGCGGTCCTGGAACCTGACCCAGCCGTCGTGATCCCGAACCACCAGATCTCCGGTGCGTTGGAACAGATCCCCTTTCTTGAAGACATCGCGTAGCAACTTCTTCTCTGTGGCTTCATCGTTGTGGAGGTATTCGGTGAGGAGGCCGCGGCTCTTCACCCGCCCGATCGCCTCTCCTTCTTCGCCGAGCCTGGATTTCACGCAGAAGCCTGTCTTTGGATCCCGGTAGGGCATTTCCGTTTCCGTGTCATATTTGACAATATAGGTATCGTTTTCCATCATACGCTTGATGAAGCCCGAATGTCCAACCTTGCCGGCGGCCCACGCGCCCTCTCCAAAGTTATCAAACTTGGCCACTCCTTCGGTGGATCTATAGAATTCGCGGATCTCAGGCACGCCGAAGCGTTGTCGGAAACGCTCCCAAATCTCGCCCCGCAAGCCATTGCCGTTGGCGACTATACAGGCATGGTTGCGATCGTAGGGGGAAGGGGGTGTCGATAGGAGATACCGACAGAGCTCACCAATGTATAGTATGCGTGTCGCTCGCGAATCATGCACGTCCTTCCAGAATTGCGACGCGGAGAACTTTCGCCGGAGACAGAGCGTACCGGCGTTTCCAACGGAGTAACAGATACCAGTGAAGTAAGCCGTTCCATGGAAGAGGGGAAGGGAGGAGTATGTCCGCAGAGGGTAGTACTTGGAGCGGTTGTTGATGTCAACCGTCTGGGGGTTAGATGTAATTAGCCCCATCATGTTGCGAATAGCGCAAGCTTTGGGCTTGCCCGTGGTGCCCGAGGTGTAGATGAGTGCGCTCAGGTCACTAGGAGATCTCTTAGCAGCAGACAGCCCCGTGGGTGAAAATTGCTGCAGGTCCGCTGATGTGATTAGTTGCGCTGTACCGGAAGAAACCCCTTCGAAGGATGTCAGGTTGAAGGCGAGATGTGGCAAATCCGAACAGACATGTTGCGACAAATCGGGTGTTGAGATAATGAACTTGCTGCCGGAGACACTGAGGCAGTGAGTGAAGGTGTCGTCTGCCCAGTTTCAGTCAGCTCAGCCCTAACTTCAATCAGACGTGCTCGTCACGTATCCTTACCGCGAAGGTTTGTGTTGATGAGAGCGGCAACAGCCCCGAGTTTCGAGAGTGCGTAGATGGTCACGACCATCTCCGGAGAATTGGTGGTGAAGACGCCCACGAAATCTCCCGGGCCTATACTTCTGGCGTGAAGAAGAGCAGCGAATCGATCAACCACTGTTGCATAATGTTAGCCGGACCGAAGCACCTGAGGGACAATGATTAGGCTCACATACAATCCTTTAATTGTGCATATGTCCATGTCTTATTCTCAAACCAGAGTGCCTCGTCTGCGCCGTGACCTTCTACTTCGACTACCCGTTCGAGCATCTTGTAGATGGTGGCCGTATCGCCCAGCTGCGCAATGCGTTGACCCAAACGATTTGTCCATGATCTGTCTTTGTACAGCGCTGCGACATCACTGGCAATGGAATATTTGGCATTGAGGTATGCACCTGCCGCCACAGAGAGGGCAGATGCAATTGCAAGGGAGGATGTGCTTATCTCCGAGAAGAGCTCCATGCTGACGGTCCCTAGTACTTTTCCCCAGCCTTGATCGTCTTTGGGGGGGAGTATGTATGTGTATGAGAGAGACTCGGACAGTGACGGCTGCAATTGATGGGTTCAGAAGCTATGTAATAAGGACACGGACCTCAATTGCGTCGGGACAGTCTAGTTATCTAGGAAAAACAGCATCCAAAAGTCAAGATCCGTAGTGAACAATTAAAGGCATCCGAATGGCGAATGGGGGCAAGCAGAAAGTTCGGAATCTGGGGTCGGGAGACAAAACAGCTGGGAACTGCCGTCGTCTGGTACGTACGGCTGTACCAGAGTGGGTTTATCTAAGCAACCTTTCAGACCGCGGCGGTAATTAACAGTCCAGTTGCATCCATGCAGGCTAAGTTATCAATGACTGGAAGGTACGGAGTAGACTGATAGATAGATCATGCTCTCTGTATGCAATCATGTTGGCCAAAATAATCTGACGGTCTGACTGTAGTGAGAGTATGGTTCTATTCCGCCCAGCAGCGAGGAGGGAGACTCTGCATATGAGCCAGATGGTAGACTTCAATTCCATCATCTTGACCAGTCTGGCAGTTAATCATTAACTGGCCGCTCAGAGTCGGACCGTCGGGGTCGGGGCATGTTGCCAAAGTCGTCCTCTTCTATTCGAATATCCTCAACTGCCATGATGAATCCCGTGCATTATCTCGAAGCACGGGGATTCTGACAAGATAACCTTGAAACCTGACCCGCAACTGACAGGACGCGCGGGGAGAACTCAGAGAAGAAATCCCAATGAGAATGGAAATCCGGAGGGGAGACAAGCCAAGATTGCGGAGGGGCCGACAACCGACTGAGCCGAGGCCGACGGGACTTACCGTATCTTACCAATCTTACCAATCTTACCACTCCAGTACACTTTCCTCCCCGAGTCTGCAGCAAACCACTCACGCCTCGGCTTGAACTACATAGTACGTATCGGCCATTTGAACTGCCTCGATGATCACCCGGCCTTTCCATGGATCACTCGCAGACCTAATTCACATCTGTACGTAAAAGGTTGGCGGAGAAAACCTCATGAGGGGGGCAAAACTGGATACACTGGATAACATACAGTAGACTAGACCCGCTCGATCGGCATTGCAAGCCTGGTCGCTCCCACTCCCTAACCCGATCTCGGCTCGGCTGCTTTTCTGCATCTGGCTTGCCCTGTTGTTGCTGGAGCCGCGGCTGTTTGTCTGGCGGCGGTTTGCCCCAGCTTAATAAAACAATCCCAACTCCTGGGGAAGAGTGTCTGAATCAACCTTTCTCATTGTTTCTTTGCTCTGACGTCTGACTTTCTTTCCTATACTCACCGCAACCTCTTAATAGTCGGGCAAAGAATTTCTTCCAATCTCAAGTGGGAAAGAAGAAAGACATAGAACTAGCACAATGTCTTCCCCTCAGCAACGGTTATCTTCGATCGCAAACCAGCTTGCCAGCCCGGCAGCTGCCTCTGCCCGGCAAAAGCTTCTGACCCAGAACCCTGACGATATTGTATGGCACTACAGCAACCTACCGTGATTCGTAGTCTAGACTGGAGCTGACTTGAAATCCTTAGGTGATCACATTTGCCGCCAGAACTCCCCTCACAAAGGCCAGAAAGGGCGGACTCAAAGACACTACGCTTGACAACCTCTTGATCTCGTTGCTCACAGTAAGTTCATTGTGTCTGCTTGCGCCACTTGCCCGTTGGCTGACCGCATCATTCATTAGTCTATTCGCGAAAAATCTAACCTGGACCCGAATCTCGTTGAAGATGTTTGTGTCGGAAATGTCTTGTGTCCCGGTTCCGCCTATGTCGCACGATCTGCAGTATTGGCTGCAGGATTTCCGGTAACCGCGGCTGCTTCTGTTGCCAACCGTTTCTGTTCTTCTGGCTTGCTGGCCATCCAGAATATCGCCAACCAGATTATCGCTGGATCCATTGACGTCGGCATTGCGGTTGGAGCGGAGAGCATGAGTACCAATGCTGACGGAGGCGCGCCTGAGATGTCCTCCCAGGTCACGGCGCACCCCATTGCTTCGCAGAATGCACAGCCCATGGGCCAAACATCCGAGAACGTCGCCGCTCAATTCAACATTTCCCGTAAACAGCACGACCAATTTGCGGCAAAGAGCTACCAGAAAGCCGAGCACGCTCAGAAGTCAGGCTGGTTTGAGGATGAGATTGTCCCCGTCAAGACTCAAATCAAGGACCCCAAGACTGGTGAGGTGAAGGATATCGTCGTCGATCGCGATGATGGTATTCGATACGGCACGACTGCGGAGTCGCTGGGCAAGATCCGCTCGGCCTTTCCCCAATGGAAACCCAGCGCTACCACGGGTGGAAACGCTAGTCAGATAACCGATGGTGCCGCAGGTCTGATTCTTATGAAGCGTTCCCGCGCCCAAGAACTCGGTCAACCCATTCTGGCCAAGTTCTGCGGCGCCACCGTGGCCGGCTTGGAGCCCAGAATCATGGGTATCGGTCCGTCCATCGCTATTCCCAAGATCCTTTCCAAGGTCGGGCTGTCCAAGGAGGAGGTTGATATCTTCGAGATCAACGAGGCCTTCGCATCGATGGTACGCGCACTTTCACTCCATAAAAGCACGATCAAGGACTAACTCTCCACATAGGGAACGTACTGCGTGCAGAAGCTAGCCTTGGATGAGGCCAAAGTCAACCCTCGAGGTGGTGCTATGTAAGTCTGCGTGGTTTCTTTCCGATGCATCAGCTGCTAATCAAATTTAGTGCTTTCGGCCACCCCCTGGGCTGCACTGGAGCTCGCCAAGTTGTCACCGCCCTCTCAGAGCTGCGCCGTCAGAATAAGAGAGTCGCAGTGACCTCGATGTGTGTCGGAACCGTAAGTTCACCCCAAGTAGAATAGCCGATTACTGCTCAATGCTGACTGAGGTTTTCATTTTAGGGCATGGGAATGGCGGGCATCTTTGTCTCCGAGCATTGAAGCAGAGGTTGAACCTGTAAATAGCTATATTATGATGAATGCATTTAATAAATAAGTTCAAGAGGCTCAAGAGTGAAGTCATAATCTGTGTGCTGGTCGGTTATGAAAGTTTGGCATTGCGGAGATTGATGTACAAGGCATTTGCGTAAACAACGATAAGCTGCGCCCTCTGGAGCAATGGGTGGTGGGTCAATAACCCCAGATTAAGCATCTTGACTCCATAGCAAAGTAGTCCATACTACAATAGACTTGAAAAGGCCATCAGAAATCGCATTTGAAAGGAAATCAGCAGCTCGAGATTTCGAATTAAATTAGATTGATCGCCCATGCATTCATTTTAGTTCCAGTTGGCAAGGACTGGAAAGGGCGCAGGCACCATCACGTGGATTTCCCCCAGCCGTCGTCATCGGCGGGTGCCAAGCCAGGTACGTCCCATGACACCGCTCTTCGTCTCCTCCATTTCGCCTCCTCACCGTGCATCACTTCGCTTCCCATTAAGCTCTTCTGCTCGAAAACTATACAGCATATACTTTATCTTCACCCGCCCACTGCGTTTTCAGTGCCCACATTGCGCTCACTCTGTTAGGTCATAGCACGCCACAGTCCCTCAGGCCTTGCAACCATGAAGCTCTTATCTACTGCCGCCGCAGTCCTCCTCAGCGTCGCTCCCTTCGCCGTTACCGCTCGGTCGATCGACTTCTTTAACTCACAGTCTCCGATCAGTACCAATGGAATCCCTGTTAAAGGCGATAACCCCTTAGAATATTGTGCTAATCCTTCTGGCGACGTCCTCGAGATCAAGAAAGTCGACTTGTCCCCTAACCCTCCTCTTCCGTATGTCGTACTGCGATACAGCCGCTTGTCATCCCGTGATATTCATCGCTAATCTTTCGCAGTGGCCATACTCTCACAATCGAGGCCAGTGGTACATTGAAGGAGCCGATCGAGAAGGGTGCTTACGTTCTGCTCGAGGTCAAATATGGTCTGATTACTCTGATCAGGCAGAAGGCCGATCTCTGCGATCAACTTACCAATGTTGACCTCGAATGCCCCTTGGACAAGGGCGATCTGGTCCTGACAAAGCAGGTCGACCTGCCCAGTCAAATCCCTCCGGTATGTCTCACTAACCATGAAGACGCTAACTGCCACGAATTGGAACTGACCTAAGGCATCTATCATTTAGGGCAAATACACGGTCCATGCCGATGTCATGTCTGTGAATGATGAGCGGATTACCTGCCTCAACGCGCGAAACATTGAGTTCAAGAGGGGCTCTCTCTTCTAAATGCCAATAGCATATCTCCGGGTGCTTACCACTCATTCTGATGCACATCAGCTGTGGATTGTGCTAGATGTTCACGAGCTCTTTCACTGACCACGATTGTGCGTTTTGCAAGCTGACAACCGTCTTGTGACCTCCTTATGCTTTGAGTCCGGTTATTATGTCCAGTGAATTTGCTTGTTGTTGACCAGTGCTCCATTAGCTAGTGTTTTACGCTTCACGATCATTACCACTTGGCCTGCTCGCCTGCGTTCTGTTATTTATGGCGTTCTGGAGCATTTGCTCAGAGGCATAGCACACTGTCATATTCTTTACGACCGTTCACCGTTGGGCTTCCCCTGTCACCATAGTACTAATAACATGTGTATCAAGATCAAGTGAGGAGACTTTGTCTGCTAGTGTATCAAAGATCAGACTGCTAGACACTCTATCCAGAGTTTACAGTGTACATAGAGACTGGTATGTGAAAAGTAATACCATTAGACAGGTTCCGAATATCAGCAACGCTCTTGCAACATTGACAGGTGGAATTCTATGAACAAATATCATGGGTATCTTTCTCCCGCTCTGGGACCATTCGTTCTCCATAACAGTGCGGGAGCGACCAGGTAAAGGAACAACTGATAGTAGGGAAGCGTATGCGTATGCAGCACGGTCGATAGAGCATCCAGTCTTGTATTGATTGTGCCTAGTGGACAATCTCCTGTCCCTCCTTGTCTCTGATCTACTCTCCAAACAGTCGGCGCACC